GGCTGATTAACAAGCTTCTTTTTTTTTTTTTTAAAGATTTTATTTATTTATTTGACAGAGACACAGCGAGAGAGGGAACACAAGCAGGGGGAGTGGGAGAGGGAGAAGCAGGCTTCCCGCCGAGCAGGGAGCCCGATGCGGGGCTCGATCCCAGGACTCTGGGATCATGACCTGAGCTGAAGGCAGACGCTTAACGACTGAGCCACCCAGGCGCCCAACAAGCTTCTAATTTTGCTGATATACACCTATTTCTGATATTCTCTCTGCTAATAACCAAAACCTCAGGTGTGGCTTTGGATAACAGACATCCTTGTGGTGGCCGCCTCTGGAACATCTAATACCCTGCTGATCCTCCTGAAGTGAGAATTTTGAGCAAGGCAACTTACTGGCCCCTAGATCTCAAGCTTGACACACACAGTATCATACTGTCTAGGCCAAAGTATTTTTAAGTAAAATATTGACATAAACAAAGTGGATTTCAACTAATACCAAGCAAGAGGTATTAGAAACCTTTAACTGGAACAGGAAGCCATGGATAAGTACTAAGCAATGAGGTTGTAGATATTTGTGGGAATTAATTGATGGAAAATGGAATATCATATGTGATATAAATGATCATTAAGAGCTTCTATATACAGAAGAGATTACACTATAAAATAACACTGGAGTGTGAGAGGTAATTAAGGAATTTTTCTTGATTTGTTTCTTTGTTTCTGAACACACTTGCTGAGTTTCCTTTCAATTAAAAAATTAATACAAGTTCATTATGTAAGATTTGGGGAATAAAAAAGTGATAATGAAAAAAATAAAAGTCACCTCAAGTCCTAGCTCTGTTATAAACATAGTTAGCATTTAATGTAAATCCTTTCCATTTTCTTCCATTCCCGTACATATAGTTTATTTTCCAAAGAATGTACAACAGTGTTTAATTTTTTTTCTGATCACAAAAGTAATATATATTTAATTCAGAAAACAGAAGAGCACAAAGAAAAACAAATCACCATAATCCTTTCATTCATAAACACCGTATTTTAGTACTCTTAACCCAGCAGCTGGTATGTGCCATATTAAGCAGCCTGTGTTGTCTGCTTACTATGTGCTCCATTAATAATGAGACCATTTGCTCACACTTTACTTAGAAAGACAACGTATTCTAAAACCAATATTGTAACCATGGCTTGAAGGGAAGGAAGGAGACAAACCCATTTATATCAGAAAATGATTCTAAAGCTTACTCCTTGAAGGCCTTACCTTTTTATTGCAGGAATTGACCTTTCTCAGAAGTCCATTGCCCAAATTGTGTATTGCATGCCAAGGAATTAAGTCAGATTACTGCTATACTTCTCTCAATCTAAGTTCCACATCTCTATTTGTATTTCAATGAAAAGGATTCATGGTGTACCAAGTCATTAAAGCTCTAAGATCTTTGCATCTCTTAATGGCAGCCCACCAGGGAAAGCCATTGTAGAACAAAAACAGTTTTAGGATTAAAGGAGAAAGCCTCGTTGGCTATGCTGTTGCTGCTACGTATACTACCTCCTGTGATGTGGCATGAATGGATTTAGATACAAATCTAAGGCTTTGCAGACTAAGCGCCCTCATCAAAGAGTATTTATTGGGGTTTATAGCTGAGATACTGTTTTCCTTAGAAACCAGATGCACTGGGAAATTTGATTGAGAGCAGGAATTTTAACACAGATGCACATAGTAACCTTTCGTGCAGTGTCTTCTTAACCTAACACCCTAAAACCACATATTTAGTGCTTGTTGGAGAAAAATTTATAAAGAGTGAGAAATTTTCCATTTGATTTAATTCTCCAGTTATGATCCATTTTTTCCCTTCCCTCAAATTTTCTAAATCCACATTAGAGGTATGCAGTGATTAATGTGATTTTCAATTTCTTCTTCTCTTTATCTGCCTATGGATAAAACAGGTCAAATCAGGAATAACTTAGAATTGAGGAAATATTTTCCACCTCTTACCACACACAGAAAAAAAACACAAGAGCTACTATTTTCTATATTTATAACACACTAATGAATCTCTTGAATTAGAAGCTAAGAACTCTAAATGTCTGGGTTGAAATGAAGTTCAATCTCAGAAAGTAGTAAAGATTAAAAAATTTTGGACAATGCAGCAAATTGTGTTTTCTGGGAAACTATGTTCTGAGGCAGAAGTGAGCTTGAGAGCAGAGGTTTCTAAGTGGGCAGAGGTAGAGCGAAGAGAGGACTGGGTGGAAAGGTAGAGACAGATCTCTAAAGAGGCTCTCTGTGGGAGCTGACTATAGAGTAAATGCAGGTGACAAATGATCTTTGACCATCTTCCTGGTTGTACTGTTGATTGTAAAAAGAAGATAGGCTGTCTAAGGCTTATTTTAGGGAAAAACAAAATGTGCACAAATTCCCCAGGCTCAAATATATTATGTGCAAAAATTTGAAAGAAATAAAGTTATATCTCCAAGGAACGAGGAAGCAAACTTTTCCTCCTCTTTATTTTACCTATCTGACTTTAATTATACTTATCTAGACCCTGTGGTTTTAAAATTCAGCAGTTGGGAAGTATGATAAATTTGGAAACCTGTTAGAAAGCTCTGAATAGTTGAAGACACAAACTGCAAATTCCTCTTATAGCTGTTAAATTCAAACTGGACTTAATTGTCTCCACTGGATTATCTGAAATCTACAAATTGGTAATCTTTTTCTGTGAAAGAAAACAGTATAGCAATAAAGACTGAAAGGGGACAGTCCTCATATTCCATTGCAATAAGTTGAAAAGCTTAAGACCGAAAAGATGAAAAGTATTTATTTATATTAAAGTATGGGGGAATGTTGAGTAGAGGGAAGAGGTAAAGAAAAGCAATTATTTTATTAAAACATGAGAAATTACTTTAAAATTAAGTTTGCTTGGGATGCCTGTGTGGCTCAGCCGGTTGCGCATCTGCCTTCAGCTCAGGTCATGATCCCAGGGTCTTGGGATCAAGTCCTGCACTGGGCTCCCTGCTCAGCAGGGAGTCTGCTTCTCCCTCTGCCTTCCCGCTCCCCACTGCTTATGCTCTCTCTCTCTCACAAGTATATAAATAAAAATTTTTTTAAAGAAGTAAAATTAAGTTTGCTCTAGCTTTGACTCACTAGCAAATTTTTTGAAAGGCAGACTTACATTTTTCAGCTAAACATTCCATATATTGAGCTTGAGAGTAAGGATTAATTTTAGATTTGGATCCTATGCCTTCTCTAATATGTGCTATATTTATATGCATGTAACATTTATATATGTATCTAGTTATGCATATATATATACACTCATATGTACTGACCATATATACTACATGCAATCAGAAGGTTAAATTATATGGAAAGTAATCAGCATCACCAAAAAAAAAAAATTACATGGATAACAGTCTACTTAAAAAGTGTCTACTTAAAAGTCTACTTAAAAAGTAATCGTTGGGGGCACCTGGGTGGCTTAGTCGTTAAGCGTCTGCCTTCGGCTCGGGTTGTGATCCCAGGGTCCTAGGATCGAGCCCCACATCAGGCTCCATGCTCAGTCTCTCCCACTCCCCCTGCTTGTGTTCCCTCTCTTGCTCTCTCTCTCTCTGTCAAATAAACAAATAAAATAAAATCTTAAAAAAAAAAGTAATGAGTAAAGTAATGAACACTATATCAAAAACTAATGATGTACTATATGCTGGCTAATTGAACATAATAATAAATTTTTTAAAAAGCCTAAAAAGTGTAACCCATTTTAGAGAATATTTTCAAACGGGGTTAGAGGTGAAGAAAATGTTTTTATGGCTACATTACTTCTATTTTTATTAGCAGTATCTTCCTAGCTAGAGAATAAGTTTAATTGAGGAAAAGGGATATTTACAATATATGTCCCTGCTTCTGTATGTTATTGTACATATCCTTCCTTGAAATGTCTATCCTTTCTCCTCTCAGTCAATCTGAATATTGAGTGTTAAACACTCAGATTTTACTCTAAGAAATATTAGCCATCCTTTGAAGACTGTCTTTTGTCCTACTAATCTCACAAAATGTTTCCTGACTTCCTGCAGTCCACAATGACCTTCTTTCTCTAAATTTTTGTAATGCTTAAAATTTATGCAGATTTTGTATCATTTGATATCTTTCCAAAATGGTTATTTCCTTGTTCATGTATATCTTGTCTCTCTGAGTAGTTTATATGCCATTTGAAGATAGATATTACGTCTTGTACTTCTCTGTATTACGATGGCACCTAGCTCAATGCCTTGTACATAGAAGTATAATAGTTATGAGTGTTAAATATAATCACTTAAATGACTGTTTAATTATGTTGTTCTGGTGTAACCCACGGAGTTTGGCTTTTAGAAGATACTTATTCTTTAAGAAAATGGTCGGGGGGCAGTTGACTGGCTTGGACGGTAGAGCATGTGACTCTTGATCTCAGGGTTGTGAGTTTGAGTCCCACATTGGGTGTAGAGATTACTTAAAAATAGTATCTTTAAAAAAAATACTTATATTTGTTTACTTTAAACTTAATGGGCAGTGGGGATTAAATAATTTTTTTAAAATCTTGATCTTGTTTAATAAAAATTTAGCCAAATGATTTGTTCTGCATTAAAAAAAAGATACTTGATTGTGTTATAGACACTTCAAGAAAATGCCGTTGCTATCTTTGTATCGAAAACATTGTCTAATATTGAAGCTCTCCATTAAAAGATTTAGAATAATCATGCACTTTTTCCCCCTCAAGTTCAAAGCAGAATAGTTTTTACCTTTCATATGAAGAACATAACTGAAAACTTAGTTCTAAGAAGTATGGTACTTTTTCCATAGCTACTTCATATTTAAAGTTCAGTTTTATTTCAGAAGACCTCTTTTTTATAGAGCTTGAAATTGTGCTTTTCAGTTAGTGACAAGACAAACTTATATGTCTTAAGTATTTTAGACATGTGAATGCTATATATTTTTGCCAAATCTGTGCTCAAATCGTTTTTTAATACTTTCTTTTTACATAGTGACCAGCGTTGGCTGTGGATAGGTTTGAATAAAAGGAGCCCAGATTTACTAGGATCTTGGGAGTGGAGTGATCATACACCAGTAAGTTTAAATTTGATTTACTAGGATCCTGGGAGTGGAGTGATCATACACCAGTAAGTTTAAATTTTCTTGTTTGGAATAATGTAAAGGGATTTTTTGTTTCCATATCAAGTAAGTTGATTGTTAAATAATACATCCACATCCTATATAACCATTAAAATTATGAAGAAGTATCTTTATTGAAATGGAAATGCATTGACATATATAAAGTGAGGAAAAAAAGATACTAGCCTCACTTTTATTTAAAAAAATAATCATGGAGCGCCTGGGTGGCTCAGTCGTTAGGCGTCTGCCTTCTGCTCAGGTCATGATCCCAGGGTCCTGAGATCGAGCCCCGCATTGGGCTCCCTGCTCAGCGGAAAGCCTGCTTCTCCTTCTCCCATTCCCCCTACTTGTGTTCCCTCTTTTTCTTTGTCTCTCTCTGTCAAATAAATAAATAAATAATCTTTAAAAAGATAAAAATTAAAAAATTAAAAATAACCACAAATAAATAAATAAATATTTTTTTTAGATTAAAAAATAACCATACAGATAGTTTCTCTATAGTCCTAAAAACATAAAAATATGGATATATAGATATAGTGGTCATCTTTGGATAGTAAAGTTTTTTTTTCTTTTTCTTTGTGCTGTTTTTTATTTCCTTTTCTCGTAATGAGAAGCTTTTACTTTTATTATCTAAAAATATAAGAGTTACATAAAGGTATTTACGTAACACTTACAGGAGCAAATTATTCTCAGATTTCTTAAATATTTACTCCACATTACCATTGTGTCAGTTCATCATATATTCTTCCAAATGTAAAATTTCTTGACTTTCATTTTCAAATGGGAGCATATCTGAAATTAGTTAATTGAATAACTAGCATTTCAACACATGCCCCAAAAAAGGTCTTTTGAAAGCTCCTTATTCTCTGTGATTTCCAGCTGCAAACTTAATACAGTATTAACCTCCACTTCTGGAACTGTAGCTTCCTTTGTTTGGACACTGATGACAGTATATTTTCTAAGTTATCTCATGATTTAACATCCTGATATTTAAAAAAAGATGAAAAAGTTTTCCTTCTTTGGCATGTGAATGTGTTTGAGTTATTAAAGCTGCCTAAATTACGTCTAAATTGCAGATACTTGCACATCAGTCTTAAGTTCTCAAGCCTTTCTTGTTTTTTAAGGTGTCTACTATTCTCATGGAAAATGAGTTTCAGCAGGATTATGATATCAGAGATTGTGCTGCTGTCAAGGTCAGTACAATGCTGGAAATCTGCATATTTAAGAAATAAATTAGGCATTGTGTGCAGTGAGGCAACAGATCTACAGAGTGTGTTTTGTATGTGGAGCATAATATTAGATGCAATGGGAGGTAAGAACACCCATGGCCCCGTCCTCAAGCCACCTAACTTAGACTTAAATTGAGAAGATAAAATTCATATTCAAAAAGGTGGCTCTTCTTACTGTACAGTAATAGGCTCCAAATTAGTGGGCCGAGGAGGGCTGATGAAACTCAGAAGAGGAAGTGATTCTTCTGGCCTATTTCCAGAAAGAGGTGGGACTTGAACTGTGCTTTTGTACAGGTAAAGGTAAGCCTTTCTAATGGGGGATGGCATGAGGAGGTGGCATAAAATACGGGAGAGTGGAAGGGAGAGGCTAAGGCAGTGAGGAGAACAGAATACAGATCAAGAAGTTTTCATTGGTGCCATAGTTGAAAACAAAGTTGGGAAATTAGATTGATGTTAGGCAACAGCATTATAAAAGTTTTTTGAGGGACGCCTGGGTGGCTCAGTCGGTTAACCATCTGCCTTTGGTTCAGGTCATAATCCCAGGGTCCTGGGACTGAGTCCCACATCAGGCTCCTTGCTCAGCGGGGAGCCTGCTTCTCCCTCTGCCTGCCGCTCCCCCTGCTTATGCTGTCTCTCTCTGACAAATAAATAAATAAAATCTTAAAAAAAAAAAAAAAGTTTTTGACATGAACCAAGGAGGGTAGGAAGAAGATTCATCTTAAGTCAGATTTCAAGATGCAGCAAATAGGACCAGAAGACATAAAAGAACAGTTAGGCATGTTCCTTTGCAAAATTCATTCAGTTACTGATTCCGTAAAGTAGTCCAAGCAGTCTGTGATGCTCTGTGGGATACACCAAAAACAAGGTGTAAAACAGTTGTCTTCACAGAACTTACGTCTAGTAGGAGATAGGTAAACAAGCAATTACAGGAGCTATGACAGGTGAGGTATAAGTTTTATACAAGAACAAGAGTGTTATGGGAGGTAATGATGATGATTAACACTGGTAATGGTGTTGATGGTGGCATCAGCTAACACTTGTTAACTCATGAGCTAGGTACTTATTATTTCACTTAGTACTTACATGACCTTGTGAGGTACAAATTCATTACAAATTCATCTTTTGAGGAAGAAATTTGAGTTCTAAGTATACATGATTACAGAACTGAAATTTAAACCCACGTGTCTGGGTCTACCCTGCTGTATGACTAGGTGTTTCTAGAAATAGAAAGGGTACTGGTTTATGGAGAAAATACTACATTTTATTTAGATATTTTGAATTCAAGCTAGTAGTAAGAAATATCCTATAGTAAGTTGAAATCAAAAGACCAGAGTTGAAGGAAAAATGTATATTAAAAAAAAAGTGCAAAGGACCAAAAGTGGATTTAGGAGAACTGTCAATGCATAAAATGTAAGATGAGGAAGTAGGAGACACATAGATTATATCTTTGCTATGCAAGCCCAAGAAAGAGATTCAAGAGAGTGATTGTTCAGAAATGCTGCAGGAAGCTTGAGACAAAGAACTGAGAAGCCCACTGGAAAGCACTATTTTCAAAGCAATTGTTCTAGTAATAAACTGCATAGTATCATGCCATTTTTATAGAATTCTCGGCTTAACACATGAGAAGGCGAAAACTTAGAGAAGTTTGTAAGGTTTCCAGAACACTGATGCAAAAACTATGTTCTATGTAAATAGAGTTCTTATGTGTAAAGAGATTAGAAAATCTCCCAAAAAAAAAAAAAAGAAAAGCTAAATAAAAGAGACACTGATGCAGCTTATGTCAGGAACAAGGCCAGCCAGGGCAGTGTTCTAGAAGGAGAATCTCCCCTTAATACCCACCAGAATCTTGGCCTTAAGAGAAAACAGACCAGCCCTTTATCTGATATGTCATTTGCAAATATCTTCTCCCATTCTGTCGGTTGCTGAGCGAAGTAAGTCAATCAGAGAAAGACATGTCTCATATGACCTCACTGATACGAGGAATTCTGAATCTCAGGAAACAAACTGAGGGTTGCTGGAGTGGTGGGGGGTGGGAGGGATGGGGTGGCTGGATGACAGACATTGGGGAGGGTGTGTGCAATGGTGAGCACTGTGAATTGTGTAAGACTGTTGAATCACAGACCTGTACCTCTGAAACAAATAATACATTATATGTAAAAAAAAAAAGAAGAAGAAGATAGTGGGAAGGGAAAAATGAATGGGGGGGGGAAATCGGAGGGGAAGATGAACCACGAGAGACTATGGAGTCTCAGAAACAAACTGAGGGTTCTAGAGGGGAGGGGTGTGAGGGGATGGGTTAGCCTGGTGATGGGTATTAAAGAGGGCATTTATAGAATGGAGCACTGGGTGTTATGCACAAACAATGAATCACGGAACACTACATCAAAAACTAATAATGTAATGTATGGTGATTAACATAACATAATAAAAAAAAAAAGAGAGAGAGAGAAAACAGACCAAAAAGTGATGGAGATTCCTCCTAGGTCATGCCCTCCCGTTTCCTCTCTTGCCTGCTTAGTGGCTGGGGTTTGTAGAGAGCTATCTCGGATCACGCAGAGGAGGTTAACATCCTAGCAGTGCAGAGCAACACCAGAGCAGGAACCTGGCCCTTGATGTCAGACTCTTATGTCCCATTTTCACAGATCTGCTTTAATCAAAATCTGGTGTTGGGAAGCCACTGAAGTAAACATTTTTTTTTTTTAGGTTGACCTTTCTCAGATTTAAAGGTGTAATCTATAATTTCATATCAGCAAAAACAGAAAAAAAAAAAACCAATAATTTACATTTTGGATATAAACATGACCTTATGATATATTTCCTGTATCAGCCCCTTTGAAGATTCTTGATTAGGCTGTTAACTATTTAAACACTGTGTTCATTCATAAACAAATGTCTTGGGTGCTAGGGCTAAAATAGATTAAAGACTATAGGGCTTACACTTTAAGGTTTTATAAAGCTGCATCAACTTCAAAATATTCTTCAATCCTCTTCCTCCTTTAGGTCACTCAAAGTCCAGGGCGAAGAAGCTGGTATTTCTATGATGACAGAGAATTTATTTACTTAAGACCTTTTGCTTGTGATACAAGACTTGAATGGGTATGCCAGATTCCAAAAGGTAAGTGGTAGTTATTCCTTTTCACAATCTTCTCATGTGAACAGTATAAATGCCAAGCCTAAAGTACCTAAGAGAGCATTTTAGTCTATAATTATAACTTTAAAAAGCCTATGAAGATGTAGTTAATACATTAAACTCCATCCTGCCTGACTCCTACCCCAAGTACAAGGCTGGTTTATTGAGATTAGATGGTACTTTCCTCTTTGATCATGAAAGAATTTGTATAGAAGATAAAATTTAAGATGAATTTAGAGAGATTAGATTTTGGAATGAAAGATTATTTCAACTAAAAGAAGACACATAGTGGAGGGAATCATTTCAATTTTTATTTTGATGCAAAATGAAGGACAAAATGAAGATAAGCTTGGGGAAAATGAGGCAAAAGTCAAGAAATCAAAATTTGGCAGGTCTCTGTAACATGTAGAAGCAATTTGCCCTGAACTCCAAAACTGGTAGTAGTTTATGGAATTCAAATTCAAATTCAAGAAACCAGTTAGCTTGATAGTAGAGGCTTTGGTGATAAAAAGGAGAGAAAGGAGAATAAAGAGATACCATTTTACTTAGCTTGTTACTAGGAAAATGTTAAAGAAATATTAAGGAAAATGTTAAGATTTTTAACAGCCAAATTATTTCTTAATAATTTTAAATAATTTTATTGGATATATTAAATTAATTAGTGGTAAATGCACAGAAAACTCTAAACTAAATTTCTGAACCGAATGTAGATCACTGAAACTACATGTATATCCTCCTCTAAGCTCTCAAAGAATGCAGAGGTTTCCTTCATGCAACTACCTATTAGAAGATTGTTCTTTTTCCTTAAAAAGGTTACCACCATATTGCCTTTAAAAGACATGATATCCAACACAGTAACTGGTAAGTCTCTTTCACAAAGGCAACTGGCAGGCCATTCATTAATAAAAGGGGAAAATGTGTGTGTGTGTGTGTTAGGTTTTTCTAAGGGAGAAATTATTTATTTCTGATTATTTGATGAAACCTAAAAGAGGAACAAAGGGAAACCAGTTTGGGTTCCCTTTAAACAAGCAGGGAGTAACTAGCATAATAGCTAATTTGGATAATGCCTCTGATTTGAAGCAGAAATGGTGATGTTCCCATTAGTCTTTGGTGTTTGCTAACATGGCACAGAGAGTGTCATTGCTCCCTCCAAGGTGCGCCCTCACCCAGTAGCTGCCACCCCACCCCCATGGCTCCTGTTTGAGTGGTGGGGCAGACCCAAGAGTTCACACCAGCATAACCATAGAAATTACAAACCAGTAACCACAGGAAATATTCCGAAGAGCATGTGGTTGTCTTTTTTTCTTTTTATGTATTTTTTCATTTTAAATGAAAAAGAAGGGAATTCACTAACTTAGCAAACTTAAATCTATTAACTAACTAAATAGATCTTCTAAATAATTGCACCCCTGCTGTCCCTGTGCAGAAACAAAATTTTAAAACTAAAGTACTTCCTGTCTCAGCCTGTTCACAGTTGTTTGAAGCCGTCAATGATTGTTTGATCCAGAGTTTAAAGGTTATGTAAACTCCCCTTTGATAGTCCCTAAATTCTAAGTTACAATGTGTCACATTCACGTAGCTGGATATTTAGTTAGTAGAGCCTCCAGAGTCTGCTCAACTGGATATTTCTGTATTAATCTGTATTTTTCTGGTTTTCTGAAAGCAGTTTACTTCTTCAGTAGCCTAAATCACTATACTTTTTCTCTAGCTCTTGCCTTTTTAAAAAAGACAAAAGATTCATATGATCTGGAGAGAAACCAGAGTATTTGCCTTTTTTATTACCTGACCCAATTGGTTCTAATTAGTTCTCTTCTCTAAAAGGGATGTTCTGACAAGCTAAAATTTTTAAATAGCCATAACCACTATAGATATATATAATTTTAAAATTATATTTTTCATTGAAAAACACTATCAAAAATAAGGCTCATAAAAATATTTTTAGGAAAATCACCTATAACACCACTATCCAAACACAACTGTTTTTATATTTCTTGATACCTTGTACACACATACATAAGCTTGTGGAAAAAAAAACCAACTTTGCACTCTGTTTTTCTCACTAATTTAAAGAAATTTCAAGATTAGACATAGGTTCGTCCAAAAAACAAATGAACAGATGGTTTTTAATTTTTTATTTAAATTCAATTTAGTTAACATATAGTGCATTATTAGTTTCAGGGGTAGAATTTAGTGATTCATCATTTGCATATAACATGTAGTACTCATTACCTCAAGTGCCCTCCTTAATGCCCATCACCCAGTTACCCCATTCCCCCACCCACCTCCCCTCCAGCAACCCTCAATTTGTTCCCTATAGTTAAGAATCTCTTATGGTTTGCCTCCCACTCTGTTTTTTATCTTATTTTTCCTTCCCTTCGCCTATGTTCACCTGTTTTGTTTCTTAAATTCCACATATGAGTGAAATCATATGGTATTTGTCTTTCTCTCACTGACTTCTTTGACTTAGCATAATACACTCTAGCTCTACGTTGTTGCAGATGATGAGATTTCGTTCTTTTGATGACTGAGTAATATTCCATTATATATATATTACATATATATAAGATATATATATAATACCATATATGCAATACCAATGCCATATATATACATACCACATCTTCTTTATCCATTAATCTGTCAATGGACATCAGGCTCTTTCCATATTTTGGCTACTGTGGACATTGCTGTTATAAACAGTGGGGTGCAGGTGCTCCTTTGAATCACTATTTTTGTATCCTTTGGATAAATACCTAGTAGTGTAATTGCTGGATCATAGATACTATTTTCCAGAGTGGCTGCACCAGTTTGCATTCCCACCAACAGTGTAGGACGGTTCCCCTTTCTCCACATCCTTGCCAAGATCTTTTGTTTCCTGACTTGTTAATTTTAGCCATTCTGACTGGTGTGAGGTGGTATCTCATTGTGTTTTTAATTTGTATTTCCCTGATGCCGAGTGATGTTGAGCATTTTTTCATGTGTCTGAACAGAAGTTTTTGACAAGATTACAAACAAGAAACTATGCATATTTTTAACTGATTTAACCCATTGTTGATAGAAATTATCCAATATACAAAGAGCTGACTCATAGAGAGAAACCAAAGATGTTGGATATATAGGCAGTCCTCTGAGGAGGGTCTTCTCTGCAGTAGGCCCAGACAACAGCAAAATTAAGAATAGCTATTTTACCCTGTAATTTCTAATAGTCATCAAACTATGTCTTTGCCTTGAAACCAGTATGACCTACAACCAGAATGAAAAGGGAGAGGGAGGCAACTAGCATCCTGTGGGAGAGGGGAGCCGAAAGTAACTAGCATCCTTGTGGAAGAGGGAAGCTGCTCAGCCCTGGAATTGTCTGGGTGCTTCTGTTGAGGCAGCCTTAAAGTGATTTTCACAGTCGTTGTGAGTTAGGTAGTGGAGTCTTGTTTTTTTTATAGAGTAGAGAGCTGAGTCTCAGGGAGCTAAGCAGCTGATCCAAAGTCCCACAGCAGTGAAGGTCTGGGAGAATTTGGACCCTGACCCACCCAACTTCAGGGCCCATAATTCTTTGTAAAGTACGTATTTTCTCTGTTTCTGATGAAGAATTCTGGGTGATTTTTATTATTTTTCTCCCAGTTTTGTCTCTCACCTCCTCAAAAGTTTCAATACTCTATTACTGTACATTGTTTACAAGGATGCCTTGGGGGACAATGAACTCTACTGACCCAGGTTTATAGAACAATTATTCAAATTGCATTAGATGGAAAAGTAGTTCCTGAATAACCTCATCCTGCAGTGATGATTATCTTGGTGCCTATTCCTTAGTGCTTCTATGTAATGTATATAATATACTCGTTTACTTATTTATACTTTCTAATTATTAGCCATATTTTATCCATCTAGTCTTTCTTTGTGGCTTCCGTGATATAAGATAGAAAACTGCTAGGAATACTTTAATAGTTAACAGATCTGCCTTTTTGATTGCCACTAAAGCAGCTTTAGCTTAGGCCCCACAAAATTCAAACTGAAGCAATCATAATATGAAAGGAAATGGTTTGGCCAGAAATGGTAGAACTCAGCAATCCTGCAAGTGCTCTTGAGTTAGATTAAAGGCACTTACTTATAGTATGACATTATCTGTAATTGGATACTAATCTTGAGCCTTTTGCTTTCTTTCTTATACAGGCCGTACTCCAAAAACACCAGACTGGTACAATCCAGGTAAGTTAAGAAATCTGAAACTTGGCCAAACTGCTTCTACCTTTTCAGTAATGTACTTAGTTAATTATTTAAGCCCAGGTCTGAGTGCCAGCTTCTCTATCACATCTTCAAGGGAGATGAAATACCTCCAGGCAGGAAAGGTGATTGGCTGGTGTGGAATGAGGCTTTGGGGCTGGATTTGTTCCCCCGTGAGTACAGGAGGGTGGCAAAGTCTCTGGCTCAGCAATCCTTGGTGCTTGGCAAGCAGCACTGCCCTGGCCAGAGAGAGCCAATAATCTAAATGGATTTATAAATAGTTTTGAACATTAATTCATGCTTAGAAGGTGCAGTTTGATCTGTGCATAACTCCAATATTCTTTTTCTTTAGAGCGTGCTGGAATTCATGGACCTCCGGTTGTAATTGAAGGGAGTGAATATTGGTTTGTTGCTGATCCTCACTTAAACTATGAAGAAGCTGTCCTGTATTGTGCTAGCAATCACAGCTCTCTGGCTACATTGACATCTCTTGCAGGATTAAAAGCCATCAAAAACAAAATAGCAAATGTAATTTGAGAGAATATATTTAAAATCTTTCTTATTTTGATATTTATTCCATTAAAAATGATTTCAGAAATCTTGCCAAAATCTACAAAAGTTAAATGTTCCTTTCAAGTAAAATTTGCCTAACAACATCCAAATTCATCGTTTCATGTTAGAAAAGTTAAATAGAACTGCATGTTTTAAAATATTCAAGATTAATTATAAATGTCAATTTATAAAATGAGCACAAATAGATAATATAAAATATTTTAATTCTTTGTTAAATTTTGTACTAGATTTTTGTTTCTTCTAATAACTAACTTTGTAAAATAGCTTTTTGTAGGAAAAATAATTTTATGTTTTTAAATTTATAATTATTTGCAATAGAACACTATATATCCAATTAACGTATGCCTATAACTACAGTGACCCTATTTTCTGTATGCAAAATAGCGCATAGTGTTATACGAAGAGTTTTCAGCTACTTCTTTGATGAAAGGACCTGATAATTTAGAGACCAAAGTCATGGAATGTCTGGAAATTTTAGTGGTTGTGGTTATGGTGGGACTGGCTATTTAAATGAAAACTCTTTCAGAAAACTGAGCACATATAAGCATGGGTGATTTTGTTGGTTGGTTGGTTTGTTTTTCAGATATCTGGTGATGAACAGAAGTGGTGGGTGAGAACTGCTGAGAAGCCGGCAGATCGTCATCGTTCTATGTAGTATGTGACACCATTGATGTTGCCTTTGTAAAGGCATTGGAAAGAAGCAGTCCCAAATTCCCCTTTAGAAAATGCTATTTATGGTCTGTTTTGAACATTAATCCATAAACTGCGTGGACTACAGAAACCAAGTCCTTTTGCATATTAGCATCAAGAAAAAAGTGGTATAAAGTAATGGCGTAACATTAAATTTAGAGTTAAAATTACAGTAGAAGACAGAATAGAACATGTAACTACGTTATGAGCTATGAAATCTCTCATTTTCTTTCAGCTCACGATATCCATGGCCTCACTTTCCTATAACATTTCGGGAGGAATGCCTGTGCATGTCTGCCAAGACTTGGTTTAGCGGTAAATTAATTCCAAATCCTTTAATGTTGATTATGTAATGTGTGAACTTCAGGTTCAGTTACTAGCTTACCCTTGCTTTCCTTTTGATTATACGTTTGGTTGCTTCATCTTCTTTTGGTTTATTGATAATGACCATGGCTCAAATTCCAAATACAAATAGAGGTGCTTTTCACTGTGAATATTTTGACTTCCTTTATCCTGCACAGTTACTTAGAAATAAACTTACCACTTTCATCACTGATAAGCATATAGACAAATTTGCAAAGATAAACAGGTAGCAATTCTAAATATAGTCTAGGTCTCTTTTCCCTTCGTTAGGCTTTGCTTTCAACCTATTTCCCACCATCAGGAACTGTGGTGGTAACTGTGGTCCTTCCACCAAATGTGTGCATTTTTATAGGCAATGCTGGTGTGCTATAGCCTACTGATAAGAGTAATGACAGAAAATAGAAATGGCTAGAGTAAAAAAGGAATACATTTTAACTGTTTGGGAAAGATCAATTGAAAGATATTTTCTTTACTACTGGATTGTTTTTAAAATGTGCTGAACAGAAAATTCTCACCCCTGTAATCTTGCTTTTCATTTCTCAGACTTAAATAAACCAGCAGACTGTGGTACCAAGTTGCCCTTCATCTGTGAAAAATATAATGTCTCTTCATTAGAAAAATACAGTCCAGATTCTGCAGCTAAAATACAGTGCTCTGGGGATTGGATTACTTTTCAGAATAAGGTAAAAAGAGAATTGCTACCTTGTACAAATGATAATTGCTTTCATGATGGTTGTATGGCCTGTGGCAGAATTGCAGCCCATCAGATAACTTCACTAAGAAAGCCTCTGCATGTTTCAGTAACTCACCTGATCCTCTACAGTGCCAGAAACCAGGTTAGCTCTCAAATTAGTCATGCCTACAGGTCTTTCAAAGTACTGTGTTCCTATTCTGTGCTAGTAAACTTAAATTGCTGAAGTTGGTTGGTCAATGGATTATAATACTTTAAATAATAAAACTATCTCTATAGCATGAAGGAAACTGACAATTTCTGGCTGATATATTTTCCACTTGAAAGAAAGCATTCAGGCAGCATCTACCAATTAAATTAGACCAGCATTGCTGTGGCTGAGGTCAAAGAGGTTGCTGCCTGTGTTCTCCTCAAGGATTTTGATGGATTCCTGTCTCACATTTAGGTCTTTCATCCATTTTAATCCCAAAGATACAAATGTAGTGATCCGAAGGGGCATGTGCACCCCAATGTTTATAGCAGCAATGTCCACAATAGCCAAACTATGTAAAGAGCCTAAATGTCCATCAACAGATGAATGGATAAAGAAGATGTAGTAAATATGTACAATGGAATATTATGCAGCCATCAAAAAATGAAATCTTTCCATTTGCAATGATGTGGATGGAACTAGGGGGTATTATGCTAAACGAAATAAGTCAATCAGAGAAAGACATGTATCATATGATCTCACTGATATGTGGAATTTGACATACAAGGCAGAGGATCATAGCGGAAGGGAGGGAAAAATGAAGACGAAACCAGAGAGGGAGACAAACCATAAGAGACTCTTAATCTCAGGAAACAAACTGAGGGTTGCTGGAATGGAGGGGAGTGGGAGGGATGGGGTAGCTGGGGTGATGGACATTGGGGAGGGTGTGTGCTGTGGTGAGCGCTGTGAATTGTAAAAAAAAAAAAAAATTAGACCAGCATTTCCCAAACTATTTTGGGGGCTCTACACTACACATATGCTAACAAAATGTTAATCATTGATCTTGCCTTCAAGGGTGTTTAACGATTAAATAGATTTGGGAAATGCTACGTTCTGTATCTGTGTCTTTGAAATGCATAATCCATATTGATATATTTATCTCTTTGGAAATGCATTTGGCTGCTAAGTAAGAGATTGCTATACTATGTTAAAACATCTCTTCTCTCACACAAAAGACGTTTGATGGTAAGTGGGCTGGGGCTGGTATGGAAGCTCCACCACATCTTCAAATCCAGGCTCCTTTTTTCTTTTTGCTCTGTCATCTTTAACATAATAAAGCTTCCAAGCTCAAGTTCAGGGTGTTCTGTCTAGAGTCTTTTCTAGAAGCCACCCAGTGACATATAGCTCATTGGCCACTCTAGTCTCTAAGGAGGCTGAAAAAAAGCATTTTGTAGAATGGTTCAAAGAACACTATTTAGGGTGTATCAATCCACACTAACATGATCATCATATTGAAAAGAAAAAGGAAGATATGTGTCTGACAACTGAAAGCATCTGCACTGAAGCTAAAATAGTAAGGATGTATTTTGGCTTTTTAAAATTAGAACAATCTTGGGGCACCTGGGTTGCTCAGTCGTTAAGCATCTGCCTTCAGCTCAGGTCATGATCCCAGGGTCCTGGGATCGAGCCCCACATCAGGCCCCCTGCTCAGCAGGAAGCCTGCTTCTCCCTCTCCCACTCCCCCTGCTTGTGTTCCCTCTCTCACTGTGTCTCTCTGTCAAATAAATAAATAAACTATTTAAAAAAATACAAATATTATAAAAAAAATAAAAAAATAAAATTAGAACAATCTTTTTTTCCCTCCAAAGATACTGGGACTAAATTAATTTACATAGTTGATGTAAATTTGAATTAAAATATCCTACCCAAAGAAAGGGGGATGAGGGTTGGGGGGATGGAGTAACCAGGTGATGGGTATTAAGGAGAGCACATATGGTGATGAGCACTGGGTGTCATATGCAACTAATGAGTCATTGAATACTACATCAAAAACTAATGAAGGACTATATGCTGGCTAATTGAACATAATAAAAAAAGGGGGGATGATTTTTTTTTTAAATGTGTGTTTTTATATAAGGAGGTGATGATTACGAGTACAGCCTTTGAAATCAGATGGGACAGAATCTAAGTGCTGACAATACCACTGTCTGGCTATTTTACCTATAGGTGAAGTTACTCAACTGCCCTGTGCCTCGGTTTCCCCATTTGTTGTGAGAATTAAATGAGATAGTATTGTGCAAACTGTTTAGCACATAGGAAGCAGTAAATGGGAGATTTTTTAAAAAAAAATAGTTTGACTAATAGACCACTCCTTAGTTGTTTATATTGAGAGTGTAGATCTGCATTTGTATAGTACTACTTTGTTAATTTCCATATCTCACAGACCAAAAATTAACAGCCCTCTAAAACATGAGGTGTTTACTTCCTATGTGAGCTTTCCTGTGTCTGGAATTTTATGCTTCATATATGTTTTTTGTTTGCAGTGTTTTCTAAAAATCAAACCAAAGTCTCTCACATTTTCCCAAGCGAGTGATACTTGTCGCACATATGGTGGCACCCTTCCTTCAGTGCTGAGCCAGAGAGAACAAGGTAACAGAATTGTTTTGGAAACATGTATTATTCTGATCTGGGGACCAAGGTAGTTCTGAGAGGCTTTGGGGAATTAGCATATTAAAAAAATCTTATTAAACTACTTTGTTACAGAATAGGCAAAAGAGTATCTTTGTAGGTAAGCAAGAGGTATTCAGTGACATTTTTAGTGTATCTTTAATTTGAATAAGTCAAATGCTTTTAAAAAAAAAAATCTCTTTTTGACAGATTTTATTACATCCTTGCTTCCGGATATGGAGGCTACTTTATGGATTGGTTTGCGCTGGACTGCCTATGAAAGGATAAACAAATGGACAGATAACAGAGAGCTGACATACAGTAACTTTCACCCATTATTAGTTGGTGGGAGACTGAAAATACCAACACATGTAAGTTTTTTTAATGGGAAATCTATATAGCTCAGGGCACCTGGGTGGCTCAGTCAGTTGAGCATTGGACTCTATTTCAGCTCAAGTCATGATCTCAAGATTGTGAGATCAAGCCTTGCCTTGGGCTCTTGCTGGGTGCAGAGCCTGCATAAGATTTTCTCTCTTCTTTTCCTTCTGTCCCCACTCCCACCTCTGCTTGCATGCATATATGTGTGCATGCTCTCTCTCTAAAAAAGAAAAAAAGTCTACATAGCTCTGTGAAATACCCAACTCTTCTATAAATTACTGTATTAAGAACAAGGGTCTGTTTTATGTTCTTGTCCTCTAAAGCTGTAGGGAAATCTTTCAGGGAACAAAAGCTACTGAGAGCAAACCCGAGCAGATTACTTAGCCTGGCCTCTGGCAAGGGCAGTGCAATTCTGCCTCAGGCAAAGACATCTGAGAATCACTGCAACAGGCCCCTCCCCCAGAAGATCAGCAAGAACATCCAGCCAAGACCAAGTTTACCAATCAATGAGAACTGCAAAATTCTAACACTAGGGGGATACAGCACATAGAATTCATGGCTTTTCCCATGATTCTTTAGTCTTTCAAAGTTAATTTTCTTAATTTTCATTATTTTTTCTTTTTCTATTTCTTTTTTATTGAAATCTTCTTCTTTTTCAACCAACATCTTATCAATTCCTCTTTTAAAGCCTTTATTAATTTTCATTTTTACAGTCATATTCTATCCCTTCATTGTATTTAACCTTATGTTTTGTGTATATACAAGTTTTTCTTTCTTTAAAATTTTGGAATACAGTTTCTCCTAACAGACCAAAATATACCCTAAATCTAGTGTATGGCTTTGTTCTGCCTGATCACATTCTCTCCATCTTAAAAAATTTTTTTTTCTTCTCTTTTCAACCAACTTCTTATCAATTCCTTTCTTAAAATATTTTTTAATTTTCATCTTTACAGTCATATTCCATCCCTTCCTTGTATTTACCCTTATTTTTGTACATATGTAAGTTTTTCTTTCTTTAAAATTTTGGGAGGCAGTTTCTTCTAACAGACCAAAATACACCCAAAATCTAGTGTATGGCTCTGTTCTATTCACCAGCCTGATCATATTCTTTTTTCTTTTTCCTTTTACCCCCTGGTTTCGGGTCTCTTCTGATTTGTTTAGTGTATATTTTTCTGGGGTCGTTGTTTCCTTTTTAGCATTTTGTTCTCTCATTCATCTATTCTTCTCTGGACAAAATGACAAAACGGAACAACTCACCTCAAAAAAAAGAACAAGAGGCAGTACCGACTGCCAGGGACCTAATCAATAGACATTAGTATGATGTTGGAATTAGAGTTCAGAATGATGATTATAAAGATACTAGCTGGGCTTGAAAAAAAAGCACAAGATACTAAAGAATCCCTTTCTGGAGAAATAAAAGAACTAAAATCTAACCAAGTCGAAATCAAAAAGGCTATTAATAAGGTGCAATAAAAAATTGGGCTCTAACTGCTAGGATAAATGAGGCAAAAGAGAGAATTAGTGATATAGAAGACCAAATGGTGGAGAATAAAGAAGCTGAGAAAAAGAGATATAAACAACTACTGGATCCTGAGGGGAGAATTCAAGAGATAAATGATACTATAAGACAAAACAATATTAGAATAATTGGGATCCCAGAGAAGAAGAAAGAGAGGGGGGGGCAGAAGGTATATTGGAGCAAATTATAGCAGAGAACTTCCCTAATTTGGGGAAGGAAACAGGCATCAAAACCAGGAGGCACAAGGAACCCCCCCCTCAAAATCAATAAAAATAGGTCAACACCCCGACATCTAATAGTAAAACTTACAAGTTTCAGAGACGAAGAGAAAATCCTGAAAGCAGCTCGGGACTATAACCTACAATGGTAGAAACATTAGATTGGCAGCAGACCTATCCACAGAGACCTGGCAGGCCAGAAAGGACTGGCATGATATATTCAGGGCACTAAATGAGAAAAATATGCAGTCAAAAATACTATATCCAGGTAGGCTGTCATTGAAAATAGAAGGAGAGATAAAAAGCTTCCAGGACAAACAAAAACTAAAAGAATTTGCGAACAGCAAACCAGCCCTACAAGAAATATTGAAAGGGGTCCACTAAGCAAAGAGAGAGCCTAAAAGTAACATACACTAGAAAGGAACAGAGACAATATACAGTAACAGTCACTTTACAGGCAATACAATGGCACTAAATTCATATCTTCCAATAGTCACCCCAAATGTAAATGGGCTAAATGCCCCAATCAAAAGACACAGGGTATCAGATTGGATAAAAAAAGAAGACCCATTGATATGCTGTCTGCAAGAGACTCATTTTAGACTCCAGATTTAAAGTGAGGGGGTGGAAAAACAATTTACCATGGTAATGGACATCAAAAGAAAGCTGGAGTGGCAATCCTTATGTCAGACAAATTAGATATTAAAGCAAAGACTATAATAAGAGATGAGGAAGGACACTATATCCTACTTAAAGGGTCTGTCGAACAAGAAGATCTAACAATTTTAAATATCTATGCCCCTAACATGGGAACAGCCAATTATATAACCCAATTAATAACAAAATCAAAAAACACATTGACAATAAATACAATAGTAGTAGGGGACTTTAACACGCCCCTCAGTGAAATGGACAGATCATCTAAGCAAAAGATCAACAGGGGAAAAAAGGCTTTAAATGACACACTGGACCAGATGGACTTCACAGATATATTCAGAACCTTCCATCCCAAAGCAACAGAATACACATTCTTCTCTAGTGCCCATGGAACATTCTCCAGAATAGATCACATCCTGGGTCACAAATCAGGTCTCAACTGGTACCAAAACATTGGGATCATTCCCAGCATATTTTCAGACAACGATGCTTTGAAACTAGAACTCAATCACAAGAGGAAAGTTGGAAAGAACTCACATACATGGAGGCTAAAGAGCATCCTACTAAAGAATGAATGGGTCAACCAGGAAATTAAAGAAGAATTAAAAAAAATCATGGAAACAAATGAAAATGAAAAAACAACTGTTTAAAATCTTTGGGAGGCAGCAAAGGCGGTCCTAAGAGGAAAGTATATAGCAAAACAAGCCTTTCTCAAGAAACAGGAAAGGTCTCAAATACACAACCTAACCCTACACCTGAAGGAGCTGGAGAAAGAACAGCAAATAAAGCCTAAACCCAGCAGGATAAGAGAAATAATAAAGATCAGAGCAGAAACCAATGAAATAGAAACCAAAAGAACAGTAGAACAGATCAACGAAACTAGGAGCTGGTTCTTTGAAAGAATTAAAAAGATGGATAAACCCCTGGCCAGACTTACCAAAAAGAAAAGAGAAGGGACCCAAATAAAATCACGAATGAAAAAGGAGAGATCACAACCAACAGCAAAGAAATACAAACAATTATAAGAACATATTATGAGCAACTATATGCCAGCAAATTAGACAATCTGGAAGAAATGGATGCATTCCTAGAGATGTATAAACTACCAAAACTGAACCAGGAAGAGATAGAAAACCTGAACAGACCCATAACCAGTAAGGAAGTTGAAGCAGTAATCAAAAATCTCCCAACAAACAAGAGCCCAGGGCCAGATGGCTTCCCAGGGGAATTCTACCAAACATTTAAAGAACAATTAATACCTATTCTTCTGAAACTGTTCCAAAAAATAGAAATGGAAGGATAACTTCCAAACTCATTTTATGAGACCAGCATTACCTTGATCCCAAAACCAGACAAAGACCTCATCAAAAAGGAGAATTACAGACCAATATCCTTGATGAACATGGATGCAAAAATTCTCACTAAAATACTAGCCAATAGGATCCAATAGTACATTCAAAGGATTATTCACCACAACCGAGTGGGATTTATTCCTGGGCTGCAAGGGTGGTTCGACATCCGCAAATAAATTTGATACAATACATTAATAAAAGAAAGAACAAGAACCATATGATCCTCTCAATAGATGCAGAAAAAGCATTTGACAAAGTACAGCATCCTTTCTTGATTAAAACTCTTCAGAGTGTCGGGATAGAGGGTACATACCTCAATATCATAAAAGCCATCTATGAAAAACCCACAGCGAACATCATTCTCAATGGGGAAAAACTGAGAGCTTTTCCCCTAAGGTCGGGAACAACGGCAGGGATGTCCACTAGCACCACTGCTATTCAACATAGTACTAGAAGTCCAAGCCACAGCAATCAGACAACAAAAAGAAATAAAAGGCATCCGAATTGTCAAAGAAGAAGTCAAACTCTCACGCTTTGCAGATGATATGGTACTTTATGTGGAAAACCCAAAAGACTCCACCCCAAAACTGCTAGAACTCATACAGGAATTCAGTAAAGTGGCAGGATATAAAATCAATCCACAGAAATCAGCGGCATTTCTATACACCAACAACAAGACAGAAGAAAGAGAAATTAAGGAGTCAATCCCATTTACAGTTGCACCCAAAACCGTAAGATACCTAGGAATAAATCTAACCAAAGAGGCAAAGAATCTGTACTCAGAAAACTATAAAATACTCATGAAAAAAATTGAGGAAGACACAAAGAAATGGAAAAATGTTCCATGCTCATTGATTGGAAGAACAAAGATTGTGAAAATGTCTATGCTACCTTGAGCAATCTACACATTTAAGGCAATCCCTATCAAAATACCATCAACTTTTTTCAAAGAAATGGAACAAATAATCATAAAATTTGTATGGAACCAGAAAAGACCCCGAATAACCAGAGGAATGTTGAAAAAGAAAAACAAAGCTGGTGGCATCACAATTCCGGACTTCAAGTTCTATTACAAAGCTGTCATCATCAAGACAGTATGGTACTGGCACAAAAACCGACACATAGATCAGTGGAACAGAATCGAGAGCCCAGAAATGGACCCTCAACTCTATGGTCAACTAATCTTCGACAAAGCAGGAAAGAATGTCCAATGGAAAAAAGACAGTCTCAGGAAGCCTGGGTGGCTCAGATAGTTAAGCGTCTGCCTTTGGCTCAGGTCATGATCCCAGGGTCCTGGAATCGATCCCCACATCGGGCTCCTGGCTCAGCGGGGAGCCTGCTTCTCTATCTCCCTCTGCCTCTCTCCCTGCTCATGCTTTCTCTCTCTCTCTCTCTCTCTCTCTCTCTCTCTCTGTATTTCTGTCTCAAATGAATAAATAAAATCTTAAAAAAAAAAAACTAGAAAAAAGTCTCTTCAACAAATGGTGTTGGGAAAATTGGACAGCCACATGCAGAAGAATGAAACTGGACCATTTCCTTACACCACACACAATAATAGACTCAAAATGGATGAAAGACCTAAATGTGAGACAGGAGTCCATCAAAATCCTAAAGGAGAACGCAGGCAGCAACCTCTTTGACCTCAGCCACAGCAACTTCTTCCTAGAAACATTGCCAAAGGCAAGGGAAGCAAGGGCAAAAATGAACTATTGGGACTTCATCAAGATAAAAAGCTTTTGCACAGCAAAGGAAACAGTCAACAAAACCAAAAGACAGCCAACAGAATGGGAGAAGATATTTGCAAATGCCATATCAGATAAAGGCTAGTATCCAAAATCTATAAAGAATTTATCAAACTCAACACCCAAAGAACAAATAATCGAAACAAGAAATGGGCAGAAGACATGAACAGACATTTCTGCAAAGAAGACATCCAAATGGCCAACAGACACATGCAAAAGTGTTCAACATCGCTCAGCATCAGGGAAATCCAAATCAAAACCTCAATGAGATACCACCTCACACCAGTCAGAATGGCTAAAATTAACAAGTCAGGAAATGACAGATGTTGGTGGGGATGGAGAAAGGGGAACCCTCCTACACTGTTGGCGGGATTGAAAGCTGGTGCAGCCACTCTGGAAAACAGTATGGAGGTTCCTCAAAAAGTTGAAAATAGAGCTACCGTACAACCCAGCAATTTCACTACTGGGTATTTACCCCGAAGATACAAATGTAGTGATCTGAAGGGGTATGTGCACCCCAATGTTTATAGCAGCAATGTCCACAGTAGCCAAACTATGGAAAGAGCCAAAATGTCCATCAACAGATGAAGGGATAAAGAAGATATACAATGGAATGGATAAAGTATATATACAATGGAATATTTGCAGCCATCAAAAAAAAATCTTGCCATTTGCAATGACGTGGATGGGACTAGAGGGTATTATGCTAAGCGAAAGAAGTCAATCAGAGAAAGACATGTATCATATGATCTCACTGATATGAGGAATTCTTAGTCTCAGGAAACAAACTGACAGATGGTAGTTACACTTGGGGTGGGCATAGCATAACAACATATAGAGAAGCTGAATCACTATGTTGTATACCTGAAACTAATGTAACATTGTGTGTCAACTATACTCAAATAAAAAACTTAATAATAATAGGAATACATATTTAGCTCTATAAAAACTTTTACTCATTTCCCTTGTGATAGTCCTCATATTATTCTTAACTATAATTATTTTGTTTCATTTTTGGTTCAATGTTTATTGTGTAGCATGTATGTATGTGTTTTTTAAAAAATCTGTAGCTCCTAAGATAAGCTTGTCTTATTTTTCTAAGTGTGTGATATGTTTCAAACATACAAAAAATATAGGAACGCTATACTTTGAGTAAATTTTATATCTAGTATTACTGATTTGTGGTCAGAGAATGAAATCTAAATAGATACTTTTATTTATGGTTGTCTTTATAGTGACTAGTATAGGATCAAAGCTTTAAGGTGAGTTCTCTATTGTGTAGTATTTACAGCTTGTCATCATAAAACTTTTATAAACATCTAATAGATTGAATTAATAATCATTACCTTTTTGCTTTGACATGTGAAGAATGATAGCAGAGTGTTACTTTTACCAGTTTTTCTTTATCTGTTTGCAATTTATATTTAATAATATTGCCATTGTTTTGTTTTATAATTTCCAAAGTTAGTTGCCCTTTGCCCATACTTTGGAAATTTTTGAGAGTTTTCTTGTGATTTCACGGTAAGCTCTTTAATGGAATTTTTTATAGGAAGAAAAATCCGATTTGGAATATAAAGTTCTCCTGCTAGGATCTTCAGACAGTTATAGTTTCATGATTGTTTGTACATGTTTGCCTTTTTGTTTAGATTTTTGAAGAAGAGTCCCAATACGACTGTGCTTTAATACTCAACCTCCAAAAGTCACCTTATACTGGGACATGGAATTTCACTTCCTGTAGTGAACGCCACACTCTGTCTCTCTGTCAGAAATATTCAGGTATAAATTATTATGTAGGTAACTATGGTACTTTATGCTGTTAGATATATACAGTATTTTTCACAAAAAATCTTATAAATGAATTTATATTAATTTGTAAACATAGCTTCCCTAAAATTTCAACATGGCTAAATCCATATTGGTTCAGTGAGTCAGATTATCTCAAAAGGAGTGTGATTTTTTTCAATTATCATTGGTTTACTTAATTAAATACCAAAATTAAGTATCAGTTGGAATTTAATAGGAGTTGCCTAATTATAGTAAGTTATGGTTGTTTTTTCTACTCTGACATTTTTCAGTTATTTGTTTCCTGGAGAAAGGAGAAAAAGTGTAATGTTTTTAATTGACTTTGGTAAACATTCACACTTAAGTTTATCACACACACACACACACATAAAGGTGTGAAGCATTATAAATGGATCACTGTGTATACCTTACTGTAACCCAAATAAAAATAAAATGTGCACTTAAAAATAAGAATCATCCATATTTTCAAAAAGATATTTTTAGAAGGTAGTACACTGTTTTCATTGATTACAATGTTTTTAACAAATGATTAAAAAGAAAAAACCTTTGTCATGTAACGAGAACCTCAAGTAGATAATCCATGTACTTCTAAAGAAATTTTTGTTAAACTATGCTCATTTGTCTCATACTGTTTAGGAACTGCTTTATTCAGAAAAAGTACTGTAAAGCAATAGTTCAGTACGGCCTCTTGTGGGTTGTTTTGTACATTTCTTTCATTGGAGCTCTCCCAGATGAAAACTTTGTAAGGGAACACCTAACACTTTCTCTTGTTGAAGGAGTTTAAACAAAGGAGGTATTTGACACCAACCTGAAATGGTAATCTTATCGAAAGCTACTTTTACTTACAGCTTTTTTTCCTTCCTAAATCAGATCAACAAAAACAGAATTTTGTTCTAATTTTAGAAAACAAATTTTGTGGCTCACACATATTACCTAAGGTACACAGCAAGACATACCTAGTTCTCCTAACCAAAATCTAAAATAAATGAATAGATTAGTAATATCTGAAGTACTCATTGTGGAGAAACTTGAAGATCAACGTCCCATGACTTGCCGGGTGGGTGATTTTTTGGTTTTTTTTTACACGCAGAAGTTGAAAGCAAACAGACCTTGCAGAATACTTCAGACACAGTAAAGTATCTAAATAATCTGTACAAAATCATCCTGAAGAATATGACTTGGTTTGATGCTCTAAGGGAGTGTCAGAAAGATAACATGCAGCTGGTGAGCATCACAGACCCTTATCAGCAGGCATTCCTAACTGTACAAGCAGTTCTTCATAACTCTCCTTTATGGATTGGACTCTCCAGTCAAGACGTAAGTTTTCAGTCCCAACTGCCTGGATTGGGTGATGGAATGTGAAATTTTTGTTGCACACAGCATTTCTCATATCAGACTAAAAGAACCTGGAGATTGTAAAATCTTACTCCAGTGAATAAGTGGATTGAAAGGACAAGTGAGATTGAAAGGACATTATTCCCTTCATGAAGTGTGTAATTTTTAGTGGCCATCATCTTTCTACTGTTGAAAGATCTGGTGCTTTATCGTTTAGATGAAGAAAAAGTTCTAGTGGACATATGTAGCTGATCACTTCTTTTTATTCTAGTTAAAGACTGAGTGGGACTCAGGAACTGCTATGTCTCCCCAGCCAATGAAAAGAAGAGAGGAAGAAAAGAATTCAAAAACCAAATAGGGTTGAGTCAGGGTGGGGGGTGGGGGGGCAGAGCCCAGAGAGAGAGGGAGAGAGAGAATCCCAGGCAGGCTCCACACCCAGTAGAGCCTAATATAGGGCTCCATCTCACAACACTAAGATCATGACCTGAGAGGAAATCAAGAGTCAGACGCTCAACTGACTGAGCCACCCAGGTGCCCCTATAGTAAATTTTTTAAAAAGAAAATTTAAATCATTTGTAATCCCAGTACCTAGTAATAAATATGATTTAATAATTTGGTATATATCTCTCAAGGTTTTTTTCTATGTACACGTATATTTTTAAGACCTTTGGGATCATACCATTTTTTAACTTTTTTTTTCACCACTTAAGGATTTTGATCTTGTTTCTTATCCTATTTTCTTTTTTTTTTTTTAAGATTTTATTTATTTATTTGAGAGAGAGAGTGAGTGAAAGAGAGCAGAGCACAAGCCAGGGGGAGAGGGAGAGGGAGGAGCAAACTCCCTGCTGAGCAAGGAGCCCAATGCAGGACTCGATCCCAGAACCCCGGGAACATGACCTGAGCTGAAGGCAGGCGCTCAACTGACTGAGCCACTCAGGCACCCTCTTATCCTATTTTCAATCTTCACCTATGTTTCTCTTTTTCCTTTCACTCTTTAACAGGTTTATTACATATCTGCATAAACTGCCTTAAATCTTTGGAACATGATATAAATAATCAAAACTTTACATTGAAAGCAATGGAAGGGTGTTGAAAGATTTTAAACATGGTAGTAACAATAACAGATTTTTACTTAAGAAAAATTATATTGGCAGAGGATGGGTGAGGAAGTGAGGGATCTAGAGCTTTCTTGTAGAAATGCATGCAGGAGCTGATGTTGGCCTGAACTAAGGCCTGTGGCAGTTCTGGGTTATATAAAATCCAGAGTGTGGCTGTGGCAGCTGGTCTCTTAAGTAGGTAGAACTGGAAGTACATAGAAATAGAGGAAGTCAAGAAGGCTGGGGAACTGGTGAGTCATCCACATGAACATGAATGTCCATAAGTCAAAGGTAGGACCAGGAGGACGAGCAAGACATGGGGCATCACCTTAGTAAATGTCAGGGAGAAACAAGGAGGCCAAGTCTTAAGTGAATGTCAGAAAGAGGCAAGGAATCTGGGAGTTGGCATAAACTTTAAAGGAATGACTAAAGGAGATAAAAATACCTATTATTCCATTCTCATAGCCCTGTGGTATCTGAGAATGGAAAAATAAACAGCCTTCCCTTGTGGGTGTTGAAAGGACATTATTCCCTTAGAAAAGCTATGTTTTAATTAAGATCAATTAAGGTCAAGAATTTAGTAAAGAGATACTTACAGTCTTAATAAAGAGAGAGGGTATTCAGCAAAGAGGGTGCAGGGATTTATCTACAAGGAATAGAAGTTCCAAAGGCCCCGGTACCTGGGTTAGTTGTGAGTGCAGCAAAGGTGAAGGAATCCAGGGTGATACCAAGTACAAGCAACATCACTTGGCCAAAGGTCCTCATTGGAGACCCAGGGGCTTAGGGATTAACTGGCCACAAAGTTACAGCTGGAACCCTAGTGGAGAACAGTTTCAGAATGAAACGGTGAACGGTGGTGTTGAAACTTAAACATGTTTGCTATTTATAGTTCACTAAGGATACTGTGTGTGGCCTTTACCCAATATTCCAAATAAACCAGTGATGTAAAATTGCCTTGGGCCTCAGGACAGCTTAGTTCATTGGGTCAGTATATAAGGCCTGGTGCTTTGGGAGTGCCATGGGGAAGGGCAAACAGGTCTGTACCCCACAATCTATCCCCTGGACTCTGTACCTCTCTCAAGATAGGTGGGTGGTCAGGCCCTTGTCAGGATGTAAAGACGGACGGATGTTCACAGACTTTTAGTGCACAATAGAATAGAGTGAATGAGGAAGCTTCATCATAAAGACAAGTGTAAAATCAGCAGTGTGAGATGCACAAGGCCTGAGTGAGGGTTGAGAGGAAGGGAGCTAACATTTATGTAGCTCTTCCTGTGTACCAGCTGGCCATTATGTTACACATTACCCCACTAATTCCAGCCCTGAGGTTAAGTGTCACATCCATTTAATAGCTGAGGGGATGGAAACTTGGCAAGGTAAACTCAAATCAAAAACTAATACATGACTGAACCAGAACTCCAAACTAGATATGCTTAGTGTCAGAGCGCATGTTCTTTCCACTACTTCATGTTGTTTCTCTGACTTCCAACAACCCACAGTTCCAATTATGTGTGAGGTAGCCCAGTGTAATGGCTCAGACCATAGACTCTAGCGTCTGATGGCCTGGAGTAGAATCCCAGCACTGCAGTATATATTCTATGGGACTTGGCACACATTACATGCCTTCAGTTTCTCATCTGTGAAGTGGATACAATAGTTCCTATCTAATATGGTTGTTACGAAGATTAAGTAAGTTAATATCTGCAAAGCACTTACAGCCCTGCCTGGCGCATGGTAAGTGCTATGTAACTGTGTGTTAAATATAAGGTAAAATTAAAAGTCGTTAGATTGACTACAAGGGACAAAATAATACAAAAGGGATAACATGATGTATTGCCACTTGACATGTATTTCTGCTGCTTACAGGATGAACTCAACTTTGGTTGGTCAGATGGGAAGCGTGTTCAATTTAGTCGCTGGGCTGAAAATAATGGGCAACTTGAAGACTGTGTAATATTAGACACTGATGGATTCTGGAAAACATCTGATTGTGATCATATGCAACCAGGTGTTATTTGCTACTATCCAGGAAGTATGCTAATTTTAAATATTTTAATTCTTAAATTATTATCAGTCTCATGAATAGTGAGATTTATGGGGAGTAGTTTTGTAAAATTTTTGTAATTTTTTGGTTTTGAAATTATAATCATGTCCTTTTTTACAACAAAATTTGTTGTGAAAATTTGTATTCAGGTAGAATTACTATATTTTAGGTACTTTGTCATTGATTTGTTATTTTAGACATGTTGTATCTTTATTTTTGTCAGCTGACAGTGGTACTTGACCTTTCAGTTTTAAGTTCCTATTAGCCTCATTTTGTATATATTTTGTGTTTATATTCTATAGGAAACTCTATTTGTGGGAATTTTTTTGGTAATTCTTATCAACAACTACTGTTTCTTTTTAAGAGCCACCGTTAAGATTCATTTGTTTGTAAGTAACAGTAATCAGCTCAAGCTAGCTTAAGCCAAAAGGGAAATTTAGATCCTCAAAAATGGGGATATAGCTGAGCTTCATGAGAATGGGAATAAGAAACTGAATGGAATCAGGAACCCAGGATACTATCTCCCACCTATCCCTTCTGTTTCTCTCTATGGATTTGCACTCTTCTTTTTATATACTTTCTGCTTCTCTCTGCACATGGTGAAACATGGCAGCTCTGTAGTTTTCAATAATAGCTGTAACTGGAGATGAATTGACTATCCCTGAATTCCAAATTCTTAGAGAGAATCTGATGTACCCTACTGAGTAAGGTACGCGATCTCTAGCCTAGTCAGAGGAAAGCGGTTTTACAACTGCCAGGGGCCCACGTTTTTGCATTTGCAGTAGAAAGAAGATACAGCTACTTTCCAGACAAAGGGAGTTGTGAGCTGGGAGAGATTCTGAATGGTCTCTACTGCATATTAAATCTGCTTGATTGGCTTTGAGTAGAGCATATCTATATTTGGATCTTCTTAAATGTATGGCTTTTTCATAAAATTTTTTAAAAAGCCAGATTTTCTAGATGTCAGATTTTCAACTATTTCTGTTTGCTTTCATTAAAGCAACAACTTAGAACATTACGTATTTCATTAAAATGTACCTTTAAAAAATAAATAAAAAATAAGATGTACCTGTCAAATTAGAGAAGATATCAGTAACCAGAAACTTAAAGATGAGTTCCCAAAGTTATAGTTAGGTGCCCATTATTAATATCTTTGTATCGTCTCTGAGGTCACCCCTGTATTTCAGGTTTGGTGATATAGGAAGACAGAAACTACATTTAACCTAATAGCGTCTCATGTTTTATATTCTCCCACTCACTCCACAGCAGGGGAAAGAAATTGTGTTAAATAAATTCCTTCCTACAGAAACCCAGTTAAGAGGTCACATTATATTTGAGTATAAACAGAACAAGCATCATTAAGCTATTATTAATTGGCTTCCTGAATATTCCCTACAAATCAAGCCTAATTACCATGAACGGGATTTAACATTTATGTCTAAAGTTAGAATTCATACCGTTGTCTTTTTTTTAGACGATACTGAAAAAGAGGTCAAAGCACTTGACAATGTTCAGTGTCCATCTCCTGTTCTATTTACTCCATGGATACCATTTCAGAACTCTTGCTACAATTTTATAATAGCAAAGACTGAATATACGGCAACATCACCAGATGAAGTTCATTCTAAATGCCAGAAAATGAGTAAGTATCTTATGTGGCCATTATGTATATGTTCATTAAAAAACAAATCTCACCTGAGGTGTGTTATAAATATTTCTAATTAGCACTAGATCTCAAAAATATTCATCTCCTAATTTCTACATTGTCAACAAAAAAAGGATTAAAATTTTGTTTAGTTAAAATGGAGAATATAAGAGTTAGTTCTTTACCCATCCATTAGAGAGCTAGTCTGTCTTTACATGTATAAACAAAATGAGTTCTACTTACAAAGGAAAAGAAATAACTCTAGCAAGCAGAGAACTGGATGTTAAACCAAGTTAGACTGTGGGCAAAGTGAAAATAGGTGAATTTGGGTGGTCAAAAGCTCACATAAGTGGTCAAAAGCCAGATAAGTAGTCAAAAGCAAAGAAGCAGCTCTGCTTAAAAGAAGTGCATATTTCACACTTTCAGCTCTTAGGACTCTTCAGATATTCCCTATGAGATCCACGGAGGATTTGTGACTTCTGAACAATGGACCTGTGAACCGTGGGAAGTTCCTATGGAAAATATCAAACCATTATTCCCAAAAGTGTGCTGTTTAGAAACTAGTCTTGAGAGATAGTCTACAAAAAGGGTCCTTAGAAAAAGAACAAGGTTGAGAAATACTATACACCACGGCTTCCTATTAGACGTTATCAAGTGTACGTCAGCATATACTTTAAAAATTATTGCCATAAATGAACTAGTTTAACTTTGTTTAACCAATGTTGGACACTTTTATCCATCTAGTCTTTTTCTGAGAAACTCCTGCTAATTTCCTGAGGAACACCTTTGGGAAATATTAAACTTTTTTAACCCTAATATAGTGATCTCTAAGGAAAAGGAAGATCTATCATATAGACCATCCAAGAAGTTTTGTTTATTATAGTCTTTGGCAGTGTATCATTAATATGGCTAAATTTGTACCAATTCAAAATAAGCTTTAAATGGGGAAAAGTGAAGTGAATCAATGTTTTAAATTCTCCACTCAGCTGCTAGTTTTACACTATTGTTTAAGACCAAATTTAACATCAAGATGTTTGGGGTACCTGGGTGGCTCAGTTGCTTAAGCATCTGACTCCTGATTTGGGCTCAGGTCATGGTTTCAGGGTCGTGAGATCTGTGAAGGGCTAAGCGTGGAGCCTGCTTAAGATTCTCTCTCTTCCTCTCTCCCTCCCCTCCCATGTGCTATCTCTCTCAAAATAAATAAAATAAAATAACATCAAAATGTTTGAAAACTTCTTTATCTATTCATTTTAGTACAATGAGATAGTTTTTAAAAAAAGATTTATTTATTCATTTGAGAGAAAGAGAGAGAGCTTAAGCAGGGGGAAGGGGCAGAGGGAGAGAATCTCAAGCAGACTCCCTACTGAGCACAGAGTCCTATGTGGAGCTGGATCTCATGACCCTGAGATCATGACCTGAGCTGAACCAGGAGTTGGGTGCTCAACTGACTGACCCACCTAGGAGCCCCAGGACAATGAGATAGTTTTAATTTACATGTCTGTCTTATTTTCCAGTATTGTTTTAGAGTTTATTAAGCTGGGAAATAAAATTTTCTAAATCTATCAAAATAAAGTGTTCTAGATAAGTAATTATTAAAATTATCGACTATTTTTTATTTAACAGATCCAAAATCACATGTTCTGAGTATTCGAGATGAAAAAGAGAATAACTTCGTTCTGGAGCAACTTCTGCACTTCAGTAATATGGCTTCATGGGTCATGTTAGGTATAACTTATGAAAGTAAGTTGTAAATCTACTGATTTTCTCTATTTGTATTCATACCTCATTATGAACTACTTGTTTACCAACCTACAAAAATATAGTTCTTCAAAGTGTATGTTTACCAATATACAAAATTATAATTATGCACTTAGCAGAACTTATATAAATACCAGACAATTTTTGTATCTCAAATCTGCCATTAAAATGCCTTTACCACCAAGGTTAGAGTTATCTGGTGGAAAATAATTTCCTTTCTCCACTATCTCTCCTACCAATTCAAGACTAACAAAAAATGACCACGCTGCCATAGAAATCTTCAATATTTTCCTTATATCTCTACTATGTATATGGGATGAGTGAGAATGGAATTATACTTCTATTAATGTTGCACCTTTGGATTTACAGCATTGGCTTGGAGTATGCATTAGAAAAATGAGAAACAGTCTGACAATGAGATAGAATATTCGAAATTGGGACTAAATGCCACAAGTCCAGGGTATAATTGCTATGAAATTTTTTAAAGATTCATTCATTTATTTTAGAGGGAGAGGAGAGAGAGAGAGCACATGCATGCACACATGGTGGCAGGGGAGGAGCAGAGGAAGAGAATCTCCAGCAGACTCCCTGCTGAGCAGGAGCCCCATACAGAGCACAACCCCACAACCCTGAGAGCATGACTTGAGCTGAAATCAAGAGTTGGCCACCCAACCAACTGAGCTACCCAGGCATTCTGCTATGAAATTTTTTAAAACACAGATTCTTTTTTTTTTTTTTTTAAAGATTTTATTTATTTATTTGAGAGAGAGAGAATGAGAGACAGAGAGCATGAGAGGGAGGAAGGCCGGAGGGAGAAGCAGACTCCCTGCTGAGCAGGGAGCCCGATGCGGGACTCGATCCCGGGACTCCAGGATCATGACCTGAGCCGAAGGCAGTTGCTTAACCAACTGAGCCACCCAGGCGCCCTAAAACACAGATTCTAATAATGGCAGAAATAAGACCAATTTAGAAAAATACTCAGAGATGTCCTGAAAATCATAGAAGTTTTAGAATTAGGAAAAAAGTAACTCTGAGACATCACACATCAAAAGCATACATCTAGCCAAAAAGGGCGGTGGGCCTTACTAAAGGGCACAGGATAATGACAGCCAAAGGCAGAAGCTAAATTACTCAAATATGAACATTTTATTTTATTTTATTTTTAAGATTTTATTTATTTATTTGAGAGAGAGAATGAGACAGAGAGAGAGAGCATGAGAGGGGGGAGTATCAGAGGGAGAAGCAGACTCTCTGCTGAGCAGGGAGTCCGATGCGGGACTCAATCCCGGGACTCCAGGGTCATGACCTGAGCTGAAGGCAGTCGCTTAACCAGCTGAGCCACCCAGGCGCCCAAATATGACCATTTTAAAAATAGCCTTCTTGGGGTGTCTGGGTGGCTTGGTCGGTTAAGCATCTGCCTTCAACTCAGGTCATGATCCCAGAGTCATGGGATTGAGACCCACATCACATCTGGCTCTCTGCTCAGTGGGGAGTCTCCTTCTCCCTCTGCCCTTCCCCCTGCTTGTGCTCTCTCTCTCAAATAAATAAATAAAATCTTTAAAAAAATATATATATAGCCTTCTCCTTGCTATCTAACCTAACATTTTTTAGAGTTGCTAAGGTTTTTCTTAAATATTTATGGCATGCAGATGAGTTAACAAAAATTAAGGTATCAAGCAATAGGTAAGACTTAGGTTGCCAGTTGAAAATGAGTTCATCGTAGGAGGACTTAAGGGCCCAAATCCTTTCTCCAATGACACTTGAATACCCTTAAAATTAAAATGGAGAGAAATTAGGTGGAAAGTTCCCAGGCTTTACCTGGAAATGACTGAGGAAACAGTGTTCCCATAGGGACCAGTGGAGACCACACCCAGGATATAGAGATTTCAATTTTACCTTCTGATATACTTTGTTAGTTATATTATCAGAAACAACTGAAAATGTATTCTGTATTCTGAAAAGCACTTTCAGATCTGTACACTTCCTTTTAAGCATCTTAACTTCTTTTTATAAATTGTATGAGTAACAAAATTTCTACTAAAATATATAGACATGAGAGATATAGAAAGATGTTTCAAGCAAACAGCAAATTTGGTTTAAATCTAATTCTTACTGGCTTAATTCACATCCATAGATTTGTTTAATTATTTCATATACTTAAATAATATTTAATTATAATGCCACTGATACAAAGGATTTTGTTTTTTTTTTTAAGTTCTGACTTTTCACAATCAGAGAAAGACAAGTATCATATGATCTCACTGATATGAGGAATTCTTAATCTCAGGAAACAAACTGAGGGTTGCTGGAGTGGTGGGGGGTGGGAGGGATGGGGTGGCTGGGTGATAGACATTGGGGAGGGTATGTGCTATGTGAGCGCTGTGAATTGTGTAAGACTGTTGAATCATAGACCTGTACCTCTGAAACAAATAATACATTATACGTAAAAAAAAAAAAAAGAAAAAGATAGTAGGAAGGGAAAAATGAAGGGGGGCACATCGGAGGGGGAGATGAACCATGAGAGACTATGGACTCTGAGAAACTAACTGAGGGTTTTGGGGGTGGGGAATGGGTTAGCCCAGTGATGGGTATTAAGGAGGGCATGCATTGAATGGAGCACTGGGTGTTATACGCAAACAATGAATCATGGAACACTACCTCAAAAACTAATGATGTAATGTATGGTGATTAACATAATAAAATTAAATTAAAAAAAAAAGTTCTGACTTTTCAGAAGTAGGTCCATGAATAGAAACTACTAAGGAAAGCCACTTGTCGACTGAAAGATGCTTCAAACTAAGTGAAAAAGTGGCCCTTTTGTACAGCAACTTTAGGAATACACCCTCGTCCATCATACTGGCCAGAAGATTGTCAGTTAAATGTTTGGGGAGAGGGAAAGAGGGCCTGGGAGACAGGAGGTGATATGAAGCAGTGAGCAGGAACCAGATCACATGTACAGTGTTTCTAGCATGTCTTTGCTGCAGGCAGATGTTTGGGTATAACCGCCTTGGAAGATGGTCATCAGTGAAAGGTACAAATAACCAGGACAACAATGGGTATGTGTAGTTTATAGTGACATCACTCTTTATGCAAATTCATCATTTTAATAGGCCTAGCAACTTATTTTTACAGAAAGTTTGGTATATTCCCATACCACACAATTCAGCCATTTAAGGTATACAATTTAATGGCTTTAATGTAGTCCCAGAGTTGTGTAGCTATCACTACCCCAAAAAGAAACACCATACCCATTAGCACTTCCTCCTCCTTCCCTATCCCTTCTCCCAACTCCCAGCAACTACTGATCTATTTTCTGACTCTATAGATTGCCCATTCTGGACATTTCATATAAGTGAGATCATACAATATGTGATTTTGTGTGTGTGTGACTGGCTTGTTCTACTTAGCGTAATGGCTTATGCATGTAGCACTGCAGTACGTGTCAGTATTTCAGTCCTTTTTATGGCTGAATAGTATTCTATTGTATGGATATACCATATTTTATTTACCCATTCATCAGTTGATGGACGTTTAGATTCTTTTCACTTTTTTGGTTGTGAATAATGCCACTATGAACATTCACATGCATTCTATGTGGATGTATATTTTCATTTATCGTGGGTATATACTTAAGAGAGGAATTGCTGGGTCTTTTTTTAACCCTTTGAAGAACTAACATACTGTTTTCCTAAGCTGCTATACCATTTTCCACACCTTCCAATTTTTCTATATTTATGCCAACACTTGTTTTTATCTCTTTTTTTTTGATGTAGCCATCTTAGTAGGTATGAAGTGGTATCTAATTGAGGTTTTTATTTTATTTTTATTTCATTTCCCTGATGACTAATGATATTAAACATGATTTCATGTGTTTATTGGCTGTTTATATATCATCTTTGGAAAAAACTTTATTCAGATCATTTACCCATTTTTTAATTATTTGTCTTTTTTATTGTTGAGTTATAATTATATATTCTGGATATAAGTTCCTTGTCAAATAAATGATTTGTAAATATTTTCTCCTATCACTTTTTTTTTTTTTAAGTAAGCTCTATACCCAACATGGAGCTCAAACTCACTACCCCAAGATCAAGAGTCTCAAGCCCTGGGGCGCTTGGGTGGCTCAGATGGTTAAGCGTCTGCCTTCAGCTCAGGTCATGATCCCAGGGTCCTGGGATCGAGTCCCACATCGGGCTCCTGACTCAGCGGGGAGTCTGCTTCTTCCTCTCCCTCTGCCTCTCCCACTGCTCATGCTCTATCTCTCTCTCTCTGTATCTCTGTGTGTCAAATGAATAAATAAAATCTTAAAAAAAAAAAAAGAGTCTCAAGCCCTACTGACTGAGCCAGCCAGGTGTCCCCCACCATCACTTTGATAGTAGAATTTGTAGCATAAAACTTTTTTTTTTAAGATTTTATTTATTTATTTGAGAGAGCAAGTGAGATCACAAGTGGGGAAGGGGTGGGGGAGAGGCAGAGGGAGAAGGACAAGTAGACTCCCCACCGAGCAGGGAGCCTGACTCGGGGCTCCATCCCAGGACCCCAACATTATGATCTGAGCTGAAAGCAGACGCTTAACCAACTGAGCCAACCAGGCGCCCCACACAAAACTTTTTAATTTTAATGAAGTCCAATTTATCTTATCACTTATGCATATCTATGCTTTGCCTACCCCGTGGTGTTGAAGAAATACTCCTATGTTTTATTCTAAGAGTATTATAGTTTTAGCTCTTATCTTTAGGTCTATGATCTATTTTGAGTTAATTTTCTGTATGGTAAAAAGAAAGGGTCTAACACATATACACATATAAATGTGTTTACTTATGTATATATATATGTTTATATATATGGTTATATATATTTATATAACTATGTATATATATATGTTTACATAAATCATATATATATATATTTTTGCATGTAGATATCCTGTGGTCCCAGGGACTACTCTTTTGTATTGAATTGTCTTGGCACCCTTGTCAAAAATTAGTTGACATAAATGTGCACAATTGTGTATGGTTTAGGTCCAGAGAAGAGATTTCTATCACTAGTTTTGTAATGTGTTAATTTTTAAATAAAATAATTATATTCACTTTCATTGCAATTAAACATATGTACAGGAGAAATGAAAATTTGATTTAAAAAATAACAAAACATAAAGCTATTACAGGATGGTGAAATTATAAGTTTAATTTTTATGTTTATAATTTGTACTTTCCAAATTAAATATAAGCATGATTTCCTGTTATGGTCAGAAAATATTTTAAAGGGATATACATAATCATAAAACTTTTTAGAAAGTAGGTAAAGAAGAAAGAGAATCGGTTGAGTTTGAAATATTAACTATAATTCAAGTCTTCATTTAATCTCTAAACATAGAAAAACTCTTTCTTCCCTAGATAATTCTCTTCTGTGGTCTGATAAGACCATGCTGTCATACATAAATTGGAGAGGAGGAAGACCAGATATAAAAAATGACAAGTTTTTTGCTGGCTTGAGTACTGATGGCTTCTGGGATTTTCAGACCTTCAGTGTTCTTGAAGAAATACTTCCCTATACCCAGAACAGCATTCTTGCTTGTAAAATTGAAATAGGTAAGTATGCTAAAGTAGACTTTCCACTCCAGGGAAAGAGAACATAAAGCTGTCAGCTCCATGGGTGGGAATCATGAACTGTACTGTTTGAGTGCCTCCTCTGTTTTCTGTCCTATGAGAGGTACTACGGAACTTACAGAAGAAGGAAAAGACACAGTCTGCATTGTCATGGTCTTAAAATCAAGGACTAAAATGTAGTTGGGGAGACAGCATTTAACTTGTTAGCATTGTTTTATGTAGGTTAGTTTTAGGTTATTTGGTACTGGCTTAAGTTTGTTGGAAAGTCAAAAGAGATCGATGAAAACAGGAATAATGAAAACAAAAAATGCTTTGAGGACAAGGCAAGACTTGGTTGGGTCTTGAAGACTGAATAAGATTTTTATAAATAAGAAAGTGTGTTTGGGTAAAGTTTTAACATTCTAGCCTAAAAATAAATGTCTCTTAAATTTGCCTAATTCCTTAAGTAAATCTATTTTTAAATGCATATCAATTTTAAATTTTTCACGGTTTCGAAACTGTTATAATGGCCACTATGGTTTAAGGCTTCTGCTAATATCCAGGCTGATCTCCCTTCATAGTGCCACAGAATAACTTTCTGGAGCATCATTTCGATCAGCAATCTCCAGTGTTCTCCTATTACCAATTACTTTGAGTCCATGTACGCTTCTAAGACTTTTTAGAAACACTGTCGATTCTAAAATTCTAGGCTTTCTTCCAGCCCCCAATTCTTCCCCCATTCTTGGCTCAATAAGGCTCTTTTTATGTCAGGCTGATCTCTTAATTGTCCCATGTACAGTGTATGCTTATCCTCATTTGCACATTTATTTATGTTTTTTTATGCACAAAAGACTTCCACCTTCTTTTTTACTTCTTTAACAAACTTTTTACTTTAGAATGATTTTTATATTTATAGAAAAGTTAGAGACAGTACAGAGAATTCCCATATACACCATAACCAATTTCCCCTATTGTTGACATCTTATGTTACTATGGTACATTTGTCACAACTAATAAGCCAGTGTGATAGATTACTATTCACTAAAGTCCATCCATTATTCAGATTTTTTTATTTTTTACTTAATGTCCCTTTTCTATTCAGGATTCCATCCAGGATACTATGTTACATGTAGTCATCATGTCTCCTTAGGTTTCTCTTGGCTGTGAAAGTTTCTTAGAATTTTCTTACTTTTGATGACCTTGACAGTTTTGAGGAGCACTGGTTATGTATTTTGTGGAATGTGCCTCGCTTTGGGTTGGCTGATGTTTTTCTCATGATTAAACTGGAGTTGTGAATTTGACGTTTAGGAAAAAAACCACAGAGTTAAAGTGTCATTTTCATCACATCATATGAAGGGTTTATGCCATCAACACGACTTACCACTGTTGATTTTAACCTTGATCACCTGGCTCTAGATGATATTTGTTAGCTTTCTCCACTGCAAAGTTACTCTTTTGCCCATTTCCATACCATATTCTTTGTAAGGAATTCACCATAATCAGCCCACACTTACAGACTGAAGAGTTATTCTCCGTCTTCCTGAGAGGGGCATATCTATGTAAATTATTTGGAGTTCTTCTGTACAAGAGATTTGTCTCTTCTCTCCCATTTTTAAATTTATTCAGTCAGTTGTTTATATCAGTATCAGCTCATGGTTATATATTTTATATTTTGGGTTATAATCCAATATGCTACATTATTTAATATTTTATTCAAATTGTTCTAGTTTGGGCTCTTTCACTTGGCTTCTGTGCCTCTTTGAAGTACCCTCATCATTGTGGTTTTGTTACTGTTATATTATTCTTCATTTGTTTTTAGCTTACTTTCTGGTTACCTTATTATTTTTTTTTTTTAGTCCTAATTTCATCTAACCTAAACTCTGCAAACTGAATTTGTGAAGCAGGCTTTCTGACTCTCTTACTTCAGAGGAATATCTCCTTCTCTACTGAGTCACACATATTATAGTGGTTAATTGTTTGGCCTGCATTTCAGGAACTGTTGTTTTCTGTACCCAATTCCTATGTGAGCTCCTTAAATGAAAGACAGTGTTTATACCTTTCTTTAGTCAACCAGACAACTGTAATATTTAAGAACCTATTATATGTGTTGTGGCAATAATGAAAATAAAGTCTACATTTTACTTCCTTTGTTAATAAGAAATCCAGTTTTATTTAACTTTAGAAATGATTGCATGTCCAGTCTTACCCAAAATATGTACTTTTTTAAATTTTATTTTATTATGTTATGTTAATCACCATACATCATTAGTTTTTGATGTAGTGTTCCATGATTCATTGTTTGCGTATAACACCCAGTACTCCATTCAATACGTGCCCTCTTTATACCCATCACCAGGCTAACCCATCCCCCCCACCCCCCTCCCCTCTAGAACCCTCAGTTTGTTTCTCAGAGTCCATAGTCTCTCATGGTTCATCTCCCCCTCCGATTTCCCCCCTTCATTTTTCCCTTCCTACTGTCTTCTTTTTTTTTTTTTAACATATAATGTATTATTTGTTCCAGAGGTACAGGTCTATGATTCATCAGTCTTACACAATTCACAGCACTCACCAAGCACATACCCTCCTCAATGTCTATCACCCAGCCACCCCATTCCTCCCACCCCCCACCACTCCAGTAACCCTCAGTTTGTTTCCTGAGATTAAGAATTCTTCATAACAGTGAGATCATATGATACATGTCTTTCTCTGATTGACTTATTTCACTTAGCATAATACCCTCTAGTTCTATCCATGTCATTGCAAATGGCACTATTTCGTTCCTTTTGATGTCTGCATAATATTCCATTGTATATATATAGACCACATCTTCTTTATCTATTCATCTGTCGATGGACATCTTGGCTCTTTCCATAGTTTGGCTACTGTGGACATTGCTGCTATAAACATTGGGGTGCACGTACCCCTCCAGATCACTACATTTGTATCTTTGGGGTAAATACCCAGTAGTGCAATTGCTGAGTCATACAGTAGCTCTATTTTCAACTTTTTGAGGAACCTCCATACTGTTTTCCAGAGTGGCTGCACCAGCTTGCATTCCCACCAACAGTGTAGGAGGGTTCCCCTTTCTCCTCATCCTTGCCAACATCTGACATTTCCTGACTTGTTAATTTAAGCCATTCTGACTGGTGTGAGGTGGTATCTCATTGAGGTTTTGATTTGGATTTCCCTGATGCCGAGTGATGTTGAACACTTTTGCATGTGTTTGTTGGCCATTTGGATGTCTTCTTTGCAGAAATGTCTGTTCATGTCTTCTGCCCATTTCTTGATTGGATTATTTGTTCTTTGGATGTTGAGTTTGATGAGTTCTTTTTAGATTTTGGATACTAGCCCTTTATCTGATATGTCATATACAAATATCTTCTCCCATTCTGTCGGTTGTCTTTTGGTTTTGTTGACTGTTTCCTTTGCTGTGCAAAAGCTTTTTATCTTGATGAAGTCCCAATAGTTCATTTTTGCCCTTGCTTCCCTTGCCTTTGGTGATGTGTCTAGGAAGAAGTTGCTGTGGCTGAGGTCAAAGAGGTTGCTGCCTGCGTTCTCCTTTAGGATTTTGATGGACTCCTGTCTCACATTTAGGTCTTTCATCCATTTTGAGTCTATTATTGTGTGTGGTGTAAGGAAATGGTCCAGTTTCATTCTTCTGCATGTGGCTGTCCAATTTTCCCAGCACCATTTGTTGAAGAGACTGTCTTTTTTCCATTGGACATTCTTTCCTGCTTTGTCGAAGATTAGTTGACCATAGAGTTGAGGGTCCATATCTGGGCTCTCGATTCTGTTCCACTGATCTATGTGTCGGTTTTTGTGCCAGTACCATACTGTCTTGATGATGACAGCTTTGTAATAGAGCTTGAAGTCCGGAATTGTGATGCCACCAGCTTTGTTTTTCTTTTACAAAATTCCTCTGGTAATTTGGGGTCTTTTCTGGTTCCATACAAATTTTAGGATTATTTGTTCCATTTCTTTGAAAAAAGTGGATGGTATTTAGATGGGGATTGGATTGAATGTGTAGATTGCTCTAGGTAGCACTGACATCTTCACAATACATGTTCTTGCAATCCGTGAGCATGGAATGTTTTTCCATTTATTTGTGTCTTCCTCAATTTCTTTCTTGAGTATTTTATAGTTTTCTGAGTACAGATCCTTTGCCTCTTTGGTTAGATTTATTCCTGGGTATCTTACGGTTTTGGGTGTGATTGTAAATGAGATCGACTCCTTAATTTCTCTTTCTTCTTTCTTCTGTCTTGTTGTTGGTGTATAGAAATGCCACTGATTTCTGTGGATTGATTTTATATCCTGCCACTTTACTGAATTCCTGTATGAGTTCTAGCAGTTTTGGGGTGGAGTCTTTTAGGTTTTCCACATAAAGTATCATATCATCTGCAAAGAGTGAGAGTTTTGCTTCTTCTTTGACAATTCGGATACCTTTTATTTCTTTTTGTTGTCTGATTGCTGTGGCTAGGACTTCTAGTACTATGTTGAATAGCAGTGGTGCTAGTGGACATCCCTGCCATTGTTCCCGACCTTAGGGGAAAAGCTCTCAGTTTTTCCCCATTGAGAATGATGTTCGCTGTGGGTTTTTCATAGATGGCTTTTATGATATTGAGGTATGTACCCTCTATCCCGACACTCTGAAGAGTTTTAATCAAGAAGGGATGCTGTACTTTGTCAAATGCTTTTTCTGCATCTATTGAGAGGATCATATGGTTCTTGTTCTTTCTTTTATTAATGTATTGTATCACATTGATTGATTTGCGGATGTCGAACCACCCTTGCAGCCCAGGGATAAATCCCACTTGGTCGTGGTGAATAAGCCTTTGAATGTACTATTGGATCCTATTGGCTAGTATTGTGGTGAGAATTTTTGCATCCAGTTCATCAGGGATATTGGTCTGTAGTTATCCTTTTTGGTGGGGTCTTTGTCTGATTTTGGGATCAAGGTAATGCTGGTCTCATAAAATGAGTTGGGAAGTTTTCCTTCCATTTCTATCTTTTGGAACAGTTTCAGAAGAATAAGTATTAATTCTTCTTTAAATGTTTGGTAGAATTCCCCTGGGAAGCCGCTGGCCCTGGGCTCTTGTTTGTTGGGAGATTTTTGATTACTGCTTCAATTTCCTTAGTGGTTATAGGTCTGTTCAGGTTTTCTATCTCTTCCTGGTTCAGTTTTGGTAGTTTGTACATCTCTATGAATGTATCCATTTCTTCCAGATTATCTAATTTGCTGGCATATAGTTGCTCATAATATGTTCTTATAATTGTATTTCTTTGCTGTCCAAAATATGTATTTTAAATAATTTAAATATAATCCCTAATACTTTTAATTTAAATGTTATAGTTGACTACGAGGAAGAATATAATACTACTCTGCCACAGTTTATTCCATATGAAGATGGTATTTATAATATTATACAAAAAAAGGTAACATGGTATGAAGCATTAAACATGTGTTCTCAAAGTGGAGGTTATTTGGCAAGTGTTCATGACCAAAATGGCCAGCTCTTTCTGGAAGACCTCGTAAAACGTGATGGATTTCCACTATGGATTGGGCTCTCAAGTCATGATGTAAGTCTTGTTTTATTTTCCAGAAATTTTCCAAATGTGTTAGAAGGTTGGAAATTTGAGCATAAGATATTAATTCAAAGTATAACATCGGATTAAGTCCTGGGACTCAATTTGCACAGCATAGTGCTTTCTTACCTTTTTGCAACACAAACCAAATAGAAAATTGTATTTGTAGAATGAAGTAGGGCAAATGGCAGACTGCAGCTGCCCTAGACACTCCCGGGCCATCCCAAGGGCCCAGTAGATGAATATCTCAACAACACCTCTCTGTCACCTCGTTGGGGCAGACCAACTGGAAAGCGGGTAAAACAGGAATAGCACAGAATCAGAAAAACCTGAGGTCCAGTATTAGTGGCAGGTCTTCCATTTACATGTTCAGTGATCGTGAGCAGGTTATTTAACCTTTGCAAGCTTATTTCTTCTTCATCTGTAAAACTGGGGTGATAATATTTTCCTTAATATAGGATTATAGTGAAGATTAACACAAAAATTTGTATAAAATGCCAAATAAAATTCTTAATGTTAGAACTAATAAATGTATATTTTCTTCTCTCACTTTCCCCCTACAAATTGCACTATATGAGAATGATGTTTTGGTAGTAAACATATCTTTTGTGCCACTATTTGAATCTTATTAATTAGTATATTCATGTACCTATAATAATGTCCAGTATACCAAAAATAGGCATCTATTGAGATTAGAATTGAAGGCCTAATTTAAATAATCTTTAGAACAAAGTGAAGAAAACAAAAGAAAGGATGACACATTAGGATTATAGAATCAAGGGAAAACCAAAAGTAATCTTCCCAAATGAATTTTGTGGGAAGTATTTTCTTCTTCCAGCCCCCTGCTGTTTGATGGCTTCCATAATATGAAAAAATGTAGCCAGAGACACAAATCGCAGAATATAAAACATAAAAAACAATATTCAGGATATTATGGAGATTGGGATTATAAATCTGTATTGTAACAAATGGAAGCCATTTGCACATCATTTAATTTCAAGTGTTATATAAACTCATCCTTAGAAAAAATAAATCTAGAGACAGAGTATAGTAACTCTGTCCATAAATTTAAAGTCCTACTTAAATTGCACCAGAACAAATGTCTCAAATCAAAGCATCAAAAGTAAATCCCTTATTTTACAAATAGGTCCAGACCGATAACAATTGTAAGCAAATAATTAAGAATCCATTCCAATACTTCTTAAAGTATATACATATATATATTTTTTAAAGGTTTTATTTATTTATTTGGCAGAGAGAGACACAGCGAGAGAGGGAACACAAGCAGGGGGAGTGGAAGAGGGAGAAGCAGGCTTCCCGCTGAGCAGGGAGCCTGATGCCGGGCTCGATCCCAGGACCCTGGGATCATGACCTGAGTCCAAGGTAGACGCTTAATGACTGAGCCACCCAGGCGCCCCTATATATTCTTTTTAATGTTATTTTTGAACATTCTTTTGTCTGGAATCAGGTTATCTCTATTAATCTTTAAAAAAATCAATTCTTATGCTAAAAAAGTCCTAAGCTTTTTTTATCTCTATTATTCGTAAAACAGGGAAGTGAATCAAGTTTTGAATGGTCTGATGGCAGTACATTTGACTACATCCCATGGAAAGATAAACCGTCTGCTGGAAATTGTGTTGTCTTGGATCCAAAAGGAATTTGGAGACATGAAAAATGCAAGTCTGTTAGTGATGGTGCTATTTGTTATAAACCTACAAAATGTAAGGCTTGATTTTGAATAACTATATTTATTAAAATATGACATTTTGTTTTGTGCACATGATTAAATATTCAAAGGAATTTTTTGTCAATTTTTAAATAAGGTTTATTCACAAATCCTATAAAAACAATTTTGATACTTTGTGAAGAGAAACAAATATGATATACCCATTCAGGGTATGTTCCCGAAGACTTTCAGTTCCTCTGTCACTGGGTACCTATTACTAATATGTGAATTTTAATTGCACTTAGCAATGTTTTTCAAAGGCTGAAATGCTCCTTTTATTTATTTATTTTATTTTTTATTTTTTTAAAGATTTTATTTATTTATTTATTTATTAGAGAGCGAGCAAGAGAGAAACAGCATGAGAGAGGAGAGGGTCAGAGGGAGAAGCAGGCTCCCTGCTGAGCCGGGAGCCCGATGTGGGACTCGATCCCAGGACCCTGGGATCATGACCTGAGCCGAAGGTAGTCGCTTAACCAACTGAGCCACCCAGGCGCCCTGAAATGCTCCTTTTAAAAAAGAGTTCAGCAACATATAAATTTGGGAAATACCTCAGGTTTGATTTACCATATTGATGGCTCTGGGAATTTCTATAGTAAAGAAATCTATTTAACTTTGTGTAACTAAGCATTTTCCAAACTTATATGATCCTTAAAATCTAAGGAAAAAGCCCCTTCCATCAGGAGCTAGACTTGGGGTCATCCTGACAGGTGGAGGCTTGAAGAAGAGCACAAGAACCAAGACCACCCAGGAGCTGCAGAAGCCTGCTGGACAAGGCAAGAGATGGTGGCAGTGGTAGTTCTCAGGGCTTGCCCTGCTTTCTGCTCCAAAGAATCCTCCAGAGAAGATTCAACATTTGGAATTAAATAGATTCAAGCAGGAAAAAAATGTGAAAACCTTATCCAGAGAAGCAAGTGAATATAAGAAAGGGAGAATGATTTCAAGAATGAGGAATAAATGGGTAATTGAGAACTGACATCTCAGTTGTTAGGTACAGAAAATAAATGTAATGTTTTAGAAAAACAATTGGAATACATGAAAAGTAAACAAAAAATGGAAAGGGCATCTGTGTTAGCTAAACAGACTTTATAGGAGCAAGTAGAATGACAACATGAACAAACACAAATTCAGTGCTATACTGGGTTGAATAGTATCCCCCCAAATTCATGTCCACCCAGAACCTTAGAATGCAACCTTATTTAAAAAGAGCCTTTCCAGATGTAATAGTTAAGATGGGGTAATGTAATGCTTGATTAGGATGGGCCCTAAATTAGGGGCACCTGGGTGGCTCAGTTGGTTAAGCGACTGCCTTCGGCTCAGGTCATGATCCTGGAGTCCCGGGATCGAGTCCCGCATCAGGTTCCCTGCTCAGCGGGGAGTCTGCTTCTCCCTCTGACCCTCCCCCCCCATGCTTTCTCTCTATCTCATTCTCTCTCAAATAAATAAATAAAATCTTTAAAAAAAAGAAAAAAAAGGATGGGCCCTAAATCCAATGACTGGTGTCCTTGTAAGGGGAGAGAAACAGACACAGAGGGAGAAGGCCCTTTGATGACAGAAGCAGAAATTGCAGTGATGGAGCTGCAAGCCAAGGATTGCCATCAACCACCAGAAGCTAGGAGGCCTGAAACGGATTCTCCTTGGGCGCCTCCAGAAAGAACCAATCCTGCTGACACCTCAGTTTTAGACTTGCCTCCAGAACTGTGAGAGAATAAATTTCTGTTGTTTTAAACCACCAGGTTTATGGCAATTTATTATGGCAGCTCTGGGAAACTAATACAAGAGCAAAATTTATTTTATTTTTTTAAAAGATTTTATTTATTTATTTGACAGAAAGTGGGAAAGCACAAGCAGAGGGAGCAGCAGAGGGAGAGGGAGAAGCAGGGAGCCCAATGAGGACCCCGAAATCATGACCCAAGCCAAAGGCAGACACTTAACCGACTGAGCCACCCAGGCACCTCCCAAGGGCAAACTTTAAAAATTGAATCTTCAAGGGGCTCCTGGATGGCTCAGTAGGTTAAATGTCCAAGTCTTGACTTCAGCTCAGGTCATGATCTCGGGTTGTGAGGTTGAACCCCCGTTGAGCTCCACATTGGGCATGGAGCCGGCTTAAGATTCTCTCTCTCTGCCCCTTCCCCTCAACCCATCTCTCTCCTTCTCTCAAACAAAACAAAACAAAACAAAAACAAAAACCTAAAAAAAATGGACTCTTCAAAAAAAAAGAAAATAACAAGTGTTGGTAAGGATGTGGAGAAATTGGAGCCCTTGTACATTGTTTATGGGAATAAAAAGTCGTATGTAGCCACTGTGGAAAATGGCATGGTAATTTTTCAAAAATTTTAACATAAAATTACCATAGGATCTAACAATTCCACTTGTGGGCATATACTCAAAAGAAATGGAGGTAGGGACCGGAACAAATATTTGTACAACCGTGTTCACAGCATCATTATTCACAAAGGCCAAAGGTGAAAGCAACCCAAGTTGTCCACTGACAGAGGAATGCGTAAGCAAAATGTGGTCTATACACACTACGGAATATTATTCAGCATTCAAAAAGAAGGAAATTCTGACACGTAATACATAATACAACCTGCATGGATGAATCTTGAGGACATTATTCTAAGCGAAATCAGCTAGACACAAAAGGACAAATACTGTATGACTCCAATTATATGAGGTACCTAGAGTTGTCAAATTCATAGAAACAGAAAGTAGAAAGATGGTTTCTGGGGGCAGGCAGGAATGGGGAGTTATTATTTAATGGCTACAGAAGCCATAGCTACTCTCTTGGTAGGAGACAGATTGTGCTGTGCAGATATACTGTATTTTGTAAACAAATTACCAAATTTTCACTTGTGGATATAATTTTAAAGTAGTTTTTTATATGGCAAGGTAAAACTAGGTTTATATTATCAAGATAAAAAGCATCCAAAGAAAGCAACAATTTTAAGTATTATCTCAAAGTAGTTACAGGCCTGCCGAGCCCGTCTTTGCTTCTTATTCTGTCTCTTCAGTTGTTTTTTACTTTAGGGTAATTCCATCTTCGAGGGCTAAATACTTTCTTCTGTTTTCTCAGTTTTAAAAATGGTATTGCAAAAAGCTAAGCAGAACATATACTCTTAGAGTATGGGCTGTAGCTGTCTCTGATGTGGGTAGTGAGTTGAATGCTTCTTACCTACAGGAACCACAGTTGCAAATAGGAGTTAGTGAGATTTTAAAAGTCAGCTATTTTTTCTGTGCATTTTTACAGTCATGTCTAACATTTTTATAGCTAAAGAGGTGTCCTCTCATACATACTCATCAAGATGTCCAGCAGTAAAAGAGAATGAGTCACAATGGATCCAGTACAAGGAGCACTGTTATACATCTGACCGGGCATTGCGCAATTTCTCAGAAGCCAAACAGTTCTGTTCAAAACTTGGTGAGTTAAAATTTATTGATTTTCTTGGACTCCATAATTTAATCATTGGATTTTTTTCCAAGAAAACAATTTGAAATAATGATTATTTTTTTGAAAATATTTTGGGGGCACCTGGGTGGCTCAATCAGTTAAATGTCCAATTCTTGATTTCGGCTCAGGTCATAATCTGAGGGTTGTGGTATCGAGCCCCGAGTTGGGCTCTGTGCTCAGTGGGAGTCTGCTTGGGATTCTCTCCCTTCCTCTCCCTCTGCCCCTCCCCACCAACACATGTACTCTCTCTCTCTCTCAAATAAATAAATAAATATTTTTAAAACATTTTAAAAACACTCAATATTTATAATAGCATTTTATAACCTATTTGCCTCGTGGTTAAGTATTTTACGATATATGAGTTAAGTGGAGTATTGGAAGAGCCATTATAAATGACCAATGTAAGAGTAAGTACATGGAAAATAAAAGTAAGTGGAAAGAAGTAGAATAAAAAATTGCTAAGTGAACGATTTGATGTGAAAATGACACATGAAATGGTTTTAAATAAAGCTAGATATGTTTAGATGAAGGGATTAGGAGGCAAATTTTTTGTAAAGGATAAGTATTAAACACAAAATTATAGATTTTCCCACTACTTAGTTATTAATAAGTAAGCTTATCCTGACCAGAGTAATCAAGGAAGCATGGGTTGTTCCTCCATTCTGCAACAGAAATGGCCCACATCCTCTGAACACCGTAAGGAACAGGACTTTTTGTCTTCAGATTTAACTATTTTAGAAAGGGCAACAATAACTGGATCTCTCCCATGAAAAATTTACCCTATAGTCAAACTGTGAAATGACTTCTAGGGAGAATACCAAGAATATTTCAAAGACCTGCATCCTTGAGTAGCAATTTAGCCAGACTGATGGCATTTATCTCATTTATTTTGCTAACTGTTGTGGAGACATCTGGCTGATTTTAAAATCTCCTTGTTACTGCTAACTACATGATGGAAATTTTTGTGTGGGAACTCTCATGTGTTATACATGTATACACACACACACACAAACACACACACAACGGGAACTATTGTGAACTATACATATGTCCTGAAAGTCAGAAGCCTCTTGCTCCCACAGGAGAAAATAGAAAGGTTTACTGTCACTGTAGTGTGGGGGTTATGCATGTAAACCTTGGAGGCAGACAAGTCTAAGTTTTAACTCACAGCTCTGGTACTTACTAGCTGAGGGATATTATGGAAGTTACATAATTGCTTCTCTTTTCTCATCTGAACAGTGAGAATGAAAATAGGACTTATTTCAAAGGTTGGGTTGCTGTAGGAATTAATGAAATAAGATAATGTATGCAAATGTAGCATAGTGCCCTGCAAATAGTGAGCATTCAAACTATTCTTATTATTAGAAAGGATTGGGATTGGCTTTCTAATTTTATAACTGGCTAGCTGCGTAAACCTGACTAATTTACTTAATCTCCTTGAGCCTTTGTTTTCTCATCTGTAAAATAGTGATAATATCTTCCCCTACAGTATTATTTAATATTAAACAAGCACATGCACACTGTGGTCTTCTATAAAGGAGGAAAGACTTGCCTTTGCCCTTCTTCCAAAGCCACCACCACCAAAGAAATGCTTTAGTTCAAGTGCTTGTCGCTGTTAATAGGCTTGTCACTGTTGAAGACTATTTGATTCCACTTAGGATTGATTTCCAAGTCTAGTTATTATTTTATTTCTATCCCTTGCCTGATGATGGTGACAGTACTATTTTCTCTGTGGGTTTAGGGCGATTTATCAAACTTCAAGATTATTTGATTCTATACTACATTTAGGAACTTACCATAACCAAATGCCAATGGGCATAACCAAAACGCTTATGTATAAAATAGTATTAAAGGAAATTCTCCCCAAGATCCCAAACCTATTTGCTTTCATTTTCATTTTAATAGAAGCAAATTTAAAGCTGAGTTATTATACAGAAATGGTTGTTGAGGAGAGCATGCTGAAACACATCTTTCTACAATCCTATACCCCACTTCTTATGACTAGCTGTTCATACACAATGGTCTCTTTGGCAGGCAGTTCCAAGATCAAAATGTTTATCAGGTAAACATAAAAATTTCTCTATGTAAAGTTTCAATCTATTTCTAAATTTTTTGGAATCTATTAATGCTATACTTTTAAAAATCTGACACAAATACCAGATTTTCAAAATATTCTCTATGTAAAGCTTGAATTTCTCAATGATCTTGATCATGGTAGTTTTTTGTTTTTGTTTTTGTTTTTCCAAATGGCTGGTTGAGAAATAGCCACTTCCCTAGTTTGCATAAAGCTAATTAGTTTACGGTTTGTTTTCCTTCAACAGATCATTCTGCAACTATTGTTACCATAGAGGATGAAGATGAAAATAAGTTCGTGAGCAGACTGATGAGGGAAAATAATAATATTACCATGAGGGTTTGGCTTGGATTATCTCAATATTCTGCCGGTAAGTGACATATTTGTGTGCACAGTGTGCAAAGAGTTCCAACTTGTCCTAAATACCAAGTCAGCCTTGCTAAAGAGTGTTAAGTGATGGTTAATTCAAATGCTCCTTATTGACGAATAAGCTAGGTCTGCTGGCTGTTTTGGAGACTTATAAATTCCTAATGAATATGCGAGTGATGTATTAGTAATGATGGAAAACACTAATGAAGTAGAAGATCAGGTTAAATGAATTGGGATGTTCTAGAGGTTTAAGATACTTGGGTTGACAATGTATTTTTTTCTCCGACAGCAATATCTGTGCCCCCCAGGCTCCCACAAAGAACTCATGACTTACTTCCCTTAGAGTTCTAGTGTCTCTCACCTGGTCTTTTGTAGCTTTTAACTGTTTTTCAGAAGGTTCTCTTCTTGTTGTTCTCTTCCCTCTTGAAACATTTTTACCAGAGAGAAAAATTTTCTTAAATGGTTATTTTGTTTTTCAAACAAGCTTAATAAAATTACAGAGAATTGGTTAAAAAAGATTTGTGGAAGAAATTTTCAAGGAATAATGGATTAATCCAAGCAATAATGGATAAAAGATTTGAGTGAACTTTAGAATTGATAAAGAATGAATTAAGAGTACAAATTCATGGGGCGCCTGGGTGGCTCAGATGGTTAAGCGTCTGCCTTCGGCTCAGGTTATGATCCCAGCGTCCTGGGATCGAGTCCCGCATCGGGCTCCCTGCTCGGCAGGGAGTCGGCTTCTCCCTCTCCCTCTGCCTCTCTCCCTGCTCATGCTCTCTCTCTCTCTCTCTCTGTATCTCTGTGTCTCAAATGAATAAATTAAAAAATCTTTAAAAAAAAAAAAGAGTACAAATTCAGTAGAATAGGAAATATGTTTTACATTTTAAGCTAAGGTGAATTCTAAATAATTGAAATAAATGCGAATCCCAAAATATTAAGTACTTGTCAAAAAGTGAATGGATTCAAAGTTGGCCATCTAAATGAATTCTAAATTGTGTTTACACTATCACCACAAGGTGGTGCTATCTCAGCTGGAAAATAAAAATGGAGTCATGGTGGGAAACCCCTCCTGGACCCTCTTGACCCTTACTCCCCCAGCACATCTTTAATGATACGAGTTTTTTAGTTGGGGGTGAGGATGCTGATGGGGATTCAGGTCTTTAGAAATCTATCTCTCGGGGCACCTGGGTGGCTCAGATGGTTGAGCGTCTGCCTTCGGCTCAGGTCATGATCTCAGGGTCCTGGGATCGAGTCCCGCATCGGGCTTCTTGCTCAGCGGGGAGCCTGCCTCTCCCTCTGTCTGCTGCTCCCCCTGCTCGTACTCTCTCTCTCTCTCTCTGGCAAATAAATAAATAAATAAAATCTTTAAAAAAAAAAAAGAAATCTATCTCTCACACAATCAAAGTGCAAGCATTATGCACTTTAATCAAAACACCACATTTTATATCAGTGCTAATAGAACTTTCTGCAAAGATGGAAATGTTCTATATCAGTGCTGTGTAACAGAGTAGTCACTAGCCACATATGGCTATTGAGCACTTGAAATGTGACAAGTGCAACTGAAGGACTGATTTCTTTATTTTTTTTCACTTTCAATAAGTTTCATTTTAAATAATGACATAGCATAGTTCTAAGTAAATGAGTTGTATGCCATTTACCTTAGAAATTTAGAGGCAGCTACCCTATGACCCAGCAATTACACTACTAGGTATTTACCCCCAAAATACAAATGTAGTGATCCGAAGGGGCACTTGCACCCCAATGTTCATGGCAGCAATGTCCACAATAGCCAAACTGTGGAAAGAGCCAAGATGTCCATTGACAGATGAATGGATAAAGAAGATGTCATATGTCATATCTCACACACACACACACACACACACACAATGGAATATTACTCAGCCATCAGAAAGGATGAATACTTACAATTTACATTGATGTGGATGGAACTGGAGGGTATTATGCTGAGCAAAATAAGTCTATCAGAGAAAGACAATTATCATATGGTTTCACTCATGTGGAATATAAGAAACAGGGCAGAGGACTGTAGGGAGAGGGAGGGAAAACACAATCAGAAGTCATCAGAGAGGGGGAAAACCATGAGAGACTCTTAACTGAGGGTTGCTGGAGGGGAAGTGGGTGGGGAGATGGGGTAACTGGGTGGTGGGCATTAAGGAGGGCACATGATGTGATGAGCACTGGGGGTTATATGCAACTGATATAGTATGGAACACTACATCTGAAACTAATGAGGTACTATAAGTTGGCTAATTGTATTTAAATTTAAAAAAGAAAAGAAATTTAGAGGTAATAAACTTAATTTTTTTCTTTAGGTCAGTCTTGGAATTGGTTAGATGGATCAAAAGTGACATTTGTCAAATGGGCAAATAAAAGTAAGACTGGTGGTGGAAAATGTAGCGTTTTGTTAGCTTCAAATGAAACTTGGATAAAAGTTGAATGTTCACAAGGCTACGGAAGAGTTGTCTGCAAAGTTCCTCTGGGTAAGTATGGAAGCTGTCCTTAAGGAATATTTTTTGAGGAACAGGTCAGGAAATAAATGTGCAACTCAGTTATGTGCAAAGTTTTGTACTGGGCCCTAAAGTCCTTATTTAGTCCTTAGCATAGTATATCCAAAAAACTTGATGAAGCCATGCAGATTTTTTCTGTCAGAAAAATAGATTGCAAGAGATAGAAATGCCAAGATGTCTAAGACTCCCAGATGAAACTACTAGACAGCCTAAAGTTTGTATAATTCTTCCCTAAGAAAAGTAGAAGCTGCCAGAGTATTAGGGAGCTCATTTCTTTGAATATGTTCTTAAGATGTATTTGATTCTATCAGTCAAATATGTAAAAGCTCAAAGGTCTAATTCTGCAGTTAGTTTGCTTCCTTTCTCCTCATTCCCATAAAACTCATGATTAATTTAGCAACAGTGCAAAACTGGACTTAATTACTTAAAATTTCCTGGAAGGAGCATCTATAGGAAGTCATAATTTAAACTTAGATTTCATCATGAATTGACATATAAAATAACCATAAAAATCTTATCTTAATTTCATTTCTAGAGAAAGGAGCTATAAATTTTTCACAGCAACAGTTTTGAAGATTTAGCATAAAAATGTCTTTTTGGTGTGTAAATATTAAATATGAAACCCCAATGCTAGATGATTGGTGTTTGTATATTCATGCATTGATTCAGAAAATATTTGGAGTGTCTGCTTATACATCATGCCCTGTTTTGTGTGCTGGGTAGGGGGATGGCTACTTTCGATTAGGTTATCAGGGACGACATCTAAGAGCAGGAGACACTGAGGCTGAGATCTGAAAGGCCAGCCCAAGCAAAGATCAGGGGAAGAGGCCCACCAGGCAGAACTACCGTTTGGAACAAAGAGCCTAAAGCAGAATGAGCTTGATGAGTGCTCAAGGAAGATCTGAAAGGTAGGCAGGCACCAGACACCCAGGAGTCTGGAAGCAAGGGTCAAGAGTTCAGGTTCTATGCTGAGTGAAATGGAAAACAACTGGAAGATTATGGGGGGAGCTGGGGAGCAGGGTTATGGTGGCATAAACCAAGAGTTCTGTTTTGGCATTCTGAGCTGTCCATACGGAGAAGAGATATTCATATGGAATGTCTAGCATGCAGTTGGACATATGAGAGAGAAGAGAGGTCAGCATAGAGATAGTATTTAAAGCAAGGGGACAAACTGAGTCTGTCTGGGCAGCATGCAAAGAAGAGGTCTGGGACAGCATTTGAAATTGAATAGCTTGGAGCTAAATGAAGTCATCCTAAAGTCTTAAATTTGCTTTAGAGCAAATAACACTTTCTTTGGCCCTAGGTAAGTCAAACACAAAAATTTACAACTTTTAACAATTTGCTATCAAAGTAAGGTAATACACTGAATGTGATGTTCTTGAAAGGGTGATGGGGAAAGTGAGAATAAAGATAATGCTTTAACTTCTTTAGAAGAAAATTGCTAAAACAATGAATAGGATTTAAATGAAAGGGAAAAGAGTTAAATCTGAAAAGAAAACGCCTGAGTGTTTGATGATGGAGTTTGCATTCTGTGTTAATGCTATGAAACAATCAGGCACTTCTTGTGTTTTGTACAGAGGTTACACACGTGACACACAGCCTAATGTATAAATCAATAATGATGACTTTTATATTCTCTCCTCCAATGTCAAACCTTTTCCTATTCTAGGCCCTGATTACAGAGGAATAACTATCACATTTGCTGTGTTAAGTGTCTTAGCTCTCATCAGTGCACTGGTTTGGTTCCTCTTCCAAAGGAACCGGTCACACTGGCCGGGCTTCTCTTCAGTTCGATATGAACAAGGAATGAATGAAGATGAGATTATGCTTCCCACTTTCAATGACTAAATTCTTCTAAGAGTTTGCTAATTTGCACTAACGTGTTAGGGAAAATGAGCCATTTCGGTTTTTCCCAGTGTCAGTATTTACTCTGTTCTAAAGTACAAATCCTAAGTACTTTTTCAGTTGTTTAATTGCTGTGCTGGTATCTACAGCGAATTATCCACAAAATGCCATGTTTAAAACTTTACTTAATAGAATGGAGAACCTTAATAGAATGGAAAAGAACCAAAGCTGGAACTAAAGTCCAAATTATTTACAGGGTAATAAATTTAATGTGCATTTTTCTCTGTAAGAATGTAGTTAGTAACTAGGATATGTATATATGAATAGCACAACTGCTTAGAGACTTAAAATTGGCATGTTACTAGGTCATAAATCTACCTTTTAGCTTTTAAGAATATTTAGCTTAGGGGCGCCTCAGTGGCTCAGTTAGTTAAGTGTCCACCTCTTCATCTCAGCTCAGGTCTTGATCTCAGGCTTGTGAGTTCAAGCCCTGCGTAGGGCTCCATGCTGGGTGTGGAGCCTACTTAAAAAAAATATCCAGCCTAATGTGAAATTTGTACCTCAAGGTAAAAACATAACTGTAAATAATATCAACATTATTTCAAAATAGTCATTTGTAGCATTTAGGAGAAATTATTAAACAATGAGATATGCTTACTTTTTTACACAGTAAAATAATGCTTTTGGCAAGATGCTTCTTATACCGCTCCAGAGATATTTCATACCAAAATTGTTTAAATGCAAATATTTTGCTTTGTCATAGTTATTCATAAAACAATGGCTTTTAAAGGAAATTTAGTACTTAACATTTTCCTAAAGTGTGAGAACATTGTTTTTAGATTGATTTAGATATACTGTAGCAGTGTGTTTTTTGTCTTTTCTTGTGTACAATATATAACTCTTTCCTCTTAAAGGGAACCAGCTAAGGATACAAGTTCTTGAAGATTTCATAATTTTTATGCTTTCTATGACATGCCAAATTTTGACTAAGAAATTTGTGTTACTTTTTTGCCCTTTTCTGTAAGCTAGAGAAAAGGGGTCTATGAAGGAAATTGTATATCTTGCATTTGTAAAAATGAAAATTTTACAGTGAAACTCTAAACCTTGTGATTACTACTAAAATATTTTAGATGATAAATGATTAAGGAAACACTGTTTTGTGATTATCACTTTAAATTTTACCAGCAAAAATATATTTTTATATTGTCCATCACCATTGGACATGATGAATTTTTTATTCAGTGTTTATACTTTAGAATATTTTTGTATAATATTCATAGATTTATTTTAAGATTTAGAGTGTTTATACTATGATAAACTTATAATTTTCTAAGACAGTTTTATTATAATCTAAAACTATAATACAGTTGTCCTGATATATTTTTATTGAATTTGTTAGACTATTCCTCTTGCCCTGTCATCTGCACAATTTTAGCTGTTAAAGACTTTCTTCAAAGAATTAAATCAACTTGACGTGAAAAATACACCTATGCACGGTGCCTGGCTGGCTCAGTTGGAAGAGCGTGCAACTCTTGATCTTGGGGTTGTGAATTCGAGCCCCACATTGGGTATAGAGATTACTTATAAAATAATAAATAGTAAAATCTTTAAAAAAAGAAAAGTACAGTTATATATAGTAGCGATGCTGTAATAAAGTTGTTTTATTTTTTTAAGTAAAACTGTTGTTGGTCCTTGTCAGAAAAAATATCTCTAGGTTGGGTTTTATTATGTTAGGCATATAGTATAACAAAAAATAAGTGTGCAGTTGTTGTAATGCAAGGTATCCTTTATTTAAAGAATAAATGCAATCAGGGGCACCTGGGTTGTTCAGTCGGTTAAGCATCCAACTTGTTTTTGGCTCAGGTCATGATCTCATGGGTCGTGAGATCGAGCCCTGCATCAGGCTCCACTCTCGGCACAGAGTCTGCTTGGGTTTCTCTCTCCCTCTCCCCGTCCCCCTACTCTCTCTCTCTCAAAATAAATAAATAAACAAAATCTTTTTTAAAAAAAGAATATAATCATCCTACATCTCTGAATGTTTGATTTGAGTTTCTTTTTCAGATGCCTTTGACTCAGCAATTCTTAGCAAGTCTTTTAACTATTGGATCAGCAGAAATTCCAATTTTGGCCCACTTACTTCTCATTTTTGGTGCTTCTTCAGGAGATCCTACCCCCATTGCCCAAACCAGGACATTTGTCAGCCACTTTTAAGTCAGTAGGTCACATGTTCAGTTCCAGGCTCATATTTCTAACTTCCACTGGACAATCTACCTCAAAGTCCTTCTCAGCATGACCAGAACTGCCCATATTGGGTTCCTTTTCCCATTTTGCCTGTTGCAGAAGAACTGAAGAAGCCTTTTCCAGTCTTCCCTAGCTTATCCAACCCCCACCTGTGGTCTAACAAAATTGGTCTCTCAAAACCAGGTACCTAAAAAAGCAAGTAAATATACCGACTGATCAGGTACAGGGGACAAATGTAGAAGTGATACCAATGATCACCCTCTTTTTCCTCTCTTCACCCCGCACACAACATGTTCCCCTCCCTGATCCTAGGGCAAGATGTCACCATTATCTGGGAGTCCCCTCTGCACATGACTGCAATGGTTTGGTAACCCCCGATCCTTATGCCACTGCTGAGTTTATGCTAGGGAAAAAGATTCAGATTCCTTTATCTTAGGTTCATTTAATCCTAAAACCCTTTTGGAGAAACGAAGACTTGTTATTAGTTCAGTAATTTTGTCTTAAGAAGACAAATTTTAACTAGATCTCAAAGACTTTTTTTTTTTAACTAGACCTCATGATCTATACAAAGTTACACCTAATTCCCTGCATATTCTAAATTAAAGCATTCTTACAATATCTACATTTCAACAGATTTAATATATGTGTATTTCTTTTTTCCAAGCTAAATTAATCACAGGCAGAATTGTAGAAAGTTTTTTTCCAACCAGTTCTACTTCTTATACTCTCTTTCATTCAATATGAAGACGCCATACCCCTCTACTCCCAAGCTAGAAACCCAGAATTCATCCTCACATCCTCTTTTTCTCATCTCCCTAATCCAACAATTCTGTCAATTTTACCTCAGGCTTCTCACAGAGTGGCTGTCTCCATTATCAACTGTCTTAATTCAGGCCTTTATCATTTTTCCTGGATTATTTGCATCTCCTCATCAGCCCTTCCTCTTCATCCTGTTTTTCCCACTCCTGGGCCTACAGGAGCTGAAATACACAGAAGAGGACTCACTCTGTTTTTGGCCTAAAGTTATCTAGGCCTCCTCCCTATCTCAGGCCAAAAGGGATCTCAGCAATGCTCGGCCCAGGGACCTACCCCAGGAACCTTCTGTGGGCTGACGATCAGCTCTGGGAAGCCCTAGGGGTTAGGTTTCCGGGCCAAATACTCTTTTAATGCAAGGTAAGATCAAGTAAACATTGTTCCAATTGCTAAACAACAGAGAAGCAAAGTCAGATAAAACTGGACTCTGGAAATTAGGAAAACATTAGTGATCTAAGCCAGTGGAAATGTAGCTAGCGGAGCCAGAATCCAGAGTGAGCTTTGAAGTAAAAGGGAAACTAGAAAATGGGGAAAGTGAAATGCTGAAAAGTATAGTGGAGAAGGAAAGGACAGGGATTGGGTCACAGCTAGAGGGAGGAGGGTGGAAGAAGGTTTTTTTCCAAAGAAGGAGGAAAGTGGTTCACAGGTTTAGAAGCTGAGAGGAAAGAAACCAGACAAATCAAAACACCCCAAAGAGTAGACAGAGAGAAGTTAATGATGAAGGGGAGAGAGATGGAGTCATGGAAGAAGATCTTGGGGAAGATGGAGGAGAAGGGTGGGTCTAAGCCCACAGAAAGAGGAACTGGGTTTGAATGGATTGGGGAAGCCTACCTTCCTCTCTGAGGCCACACAAGGAAGACCTGCGTGGAAGAGGAGGGGAGAGCAGTAAGTACTGAAGATTTTTGTCTATACCTCATGCCCCCCTATCTCTATTGAGTAGAAAGGGAGGTCTTCTGCTGAGAAACGTGAGTAGCAAATTGGGTCTTGGCTTGAAGAGAGTAATAAAAAATTTGAAATACCTGATCAGAAGAATGGGGGAGGACAATGACCAAGACAAATAAAAGGATCACAGAAAAGGCATATAGGGCCCCGATGAAATTAAAAACCATATATTTGTACTGACAACCATTAGGAAAATTGATTGGTTTCCTCTACCTGTCCTAACTTACTTCAGGAAAGTTGAGGAACAGGAGTCTGTGAAGAAGAAAGAAGAGACCCCATCCTCAAAAATTAAACATGGAATTACCAGGGATGCCTGACTAGGTCAGTCTGTAGAGCACGCAACTCTTGATCTTGCGGTCATGAGTTCAAGCCCCACGTTGGGGCTTGAATTACCATATAATCCAGCAAATCCCACCTCTGGGTGTCTATTCGAAGGAAATGAGAACAACATCTTGAAGAGATATCTACACTCCCATGTTCACTGCAGCATTATTTACAATAGCCAAGACATAGAAGCAACCTAAGTATTTGTCAGTGGGTGCATGGATAAAAAACTTTATATATATACATATCTCACACATACATATACAGTGGAATATTATTTAGCCAAGAGAAAGAAGGAACCTAGCATTTGTGACAACATGGATGAAACTTGAGAGCATTATGCTAAGTGAAATAAGTCAGCATCACAAGAAAAAAAAATTTTTAAGAAAAAAATTTATAATTATAATGGCAATGGATGTTAACTAAACTCATGGCAATCATTTAATAATATATACAAACATCGAATCATTATGTTGTACACTTGAAATTAATATAATGTAATATGTCAACTTATAACTCAATACAAAAAAAAAAAGTAAGACAGAGAAAGACAAATGCTGTATGGTATCACATATATGAAATCGAAAACAGCTGAACTCCTAGAAGAGTGTAGAGTTGTGGTTACTAGGGGCTTGGGGGTGGGGGAAGTGGGGAGATGTTGGACAAAGTTCCAGTTATAAGATGAAGAAGTTTGGGGGATCTAATGTGCAGTATAGTGATTATAGCTAATAATACTGTACTATATAAGGTTCTTCCACGTCTTTTAATGACTTGATAGTTCATTTCTTTTTAATGCTGAATAATATTCCATTGTATGGATGTACCACAGTTTGTCCCTCACCTATTGGAGGACATCCTGGTTGCTTTCAGGTTTTAGCAACTGTGAATAAAGCTACTGTAAACATACATATGCAATTTTTTGTGTGTATATAAGTTATCAACTTGTTCAGATAAATACTAGGAAGCACAATTGTTGACTTCTATGGTAGGAATATATTTAGTTTTGCAAGAAGCTGCAAACTGTTGTGCCATTTTGCATTTCCACCAGCAATGAATGAGAGTTCCTTTTGCTCCTCATCGTCAACATTTGGTTTGGTCAGTGTTTTGGATTTTAGCCATTCTAATAGGTGTATAGTGGTATCTCATTTTTGTTTTAGTTTGCAATTCTTTAGTGACATATGATGTTGAGGGTTTTCATAAGCTTTTTGCCATTTGTATATCTTCTTTGGTGAGGTATCTATTCAGATAATTTGTATATTTTTAAATTGAGTTCCTTGGCTTTTTATTGTTGAATTTAGACTCGATTTTAAAGCACTCTTTTGCTAATGATATGAGGCTATGTCAGGGTCTTACTTGGCCCTGTTTTGTGCATTGTGTTGTCTGGTGCCAGATGCCCTCCCCAGTCAATTTACAGTTGTCTAATTTATATATCTATTATAGCAAGCATCATTTTTGTTTTTTGTTTTTTCCTTAAACAACAGAACTTTATTGCTTCACATTTCTGGAGGCTAGAAGTTCAAGGTAGGAGCAGAATTCATCAAGGGCTGTGCAAGCATAGTTTAATGACACTTAATCCAGGAAACTGGTAACAAATAAAAGTTATCTGAGGGGGGCATTTGGGTGGCTCAGTCGGTTAAGCGTCTGACTTCAGCTCAGGTCATGATCTCCAGCTCAGGTCATGATTTCAGGGTCCTCCCATCCAGCCGCATGAGGCTGGGTGCTCAGTGGGGAGCCTGCTTCTCCCTCTCCTCCGCCCCTACCCCTGCTTGTGTTCTCTGTCTCAAATAAAATAAAATCTTAAAAAAAATAAAAATAAAAAAGTAGTCCACGGGGTGGAGGCTTTGAAAAGGTTTCTTATCATTAGACCCAAAGGAGGAATCTGGCAGACACTTTAACCAAGTGATCAAAACTAGCATCACCAATATGACACAGATCGACAGGGGGTCTCTCCTGGGCAGGACACATCACTTCTGTGGTACTCTCGCCAAACAAACAAAAAAAACCTGAATCCTGTTCTTCCAATCTCCCTTAAGAGGAAACCTAAGACAAACCAAAACTGAAGGACATGCTACAAAGTGTCCAGTACTCTTCAAACGAGATGGGGGAAAGACAGACAATGACAGAGGAAATGTCCCGCATTAAAGGACACTAAGGAGTCGTCATCTCGATGCCATATAAAATGATGGATTGGATTTTAGAACAGAAAAAGATCATCAGGGGGACAACTGATGCGATGTGGTAAGGGCTGCAGATTAGTGAATACTATTGTACCAGTTTTAATTTCCTGGCTTTGACCATTTTACTGGGGAGTTACATACGATGTTAATATTTAGAGAAGCTGGCTGAAGGGTTATGGAAATTCTTCCGACTCCTTTTGTAACATTTTTGAGAGTCCGAAATTATGCCAGTTCAAACGCCAGAGAGACGTGGGAGAGGCGGCGCGCGGGCGGGCCCTTGCAGCCGGGTCGGCCCCGGGCTGGCCCCCTCCCCTCCCCCTCGCCTTTCTCCCCCCCCCCCCCCCCGCCGGCCGCGTGGGCGGGTTGGTCCGCGCCCCGCACTTCCGAGGAGCGCAGCCCTCGGCGTCCGCAGCCGCCGTCATGCCCCGGCCCGCGCGGCCCGCTCTCCCGCTGCTGTTGCTGGGCCTGGTCACCGCCGCCGTCGCGGGTG